AATGGTATAGAAAACATGAAAATTGAGAGATTCAAATACTAAGACAGATTTTATCTCCAGATAAGGCTTCTGTTGGAAGCAACAATTATGGAGAATAGAAGAAATGTGTATATATATAATGCAATCAATATGATTTTACCTCTTGACATCTTTGTCTTTTCTCACTTTTTTTTTTTTAAATTGTGATGAATGAGACATCAAAACATACATATACATATATTTCAATTTCCAGAACATATAAACCTGCTGAAGGTCATCTAAACAAGGATATGGCAAATGTTGGGAAGGAGTTTTGTGTGAATTCACAGAAGTTGACGTTTTCTACAAAACTTACTGCTGATACGATCTAATTTAGCAAAACAGAAACAGCATATATTAATTTAAAATGAGAACTTATTATTTGAGACTACTGAAGGGTCAAATCACAAAGAAAAAGGGCTATGATCCCAAAGCTGAAAGCATTTATATTTCATTGTTGACTATGATTGAAAGAAGCATTTTACGTTAGTCCATGGAACCTGCAACAATGAATACATGTAAGTGTTGGCAGCATCTAGACTTGTCACATGGATTCATCAATTATAAAAGAATAAGCAATTCTTTAACATTTACAAACAACAATTTTATGCACAAAGAAAAACAAATGTGTAAGCTTTCCTAGAGCAAATGACAAGAATATATGAATTGTCCTGATCAATTAGGCATTATTGAACAAAATTAAGGAACTATTGTTTACCTTTTAAATTCAGCTGCTAAACAAGTTTCAATAACCTTCTGGACACTAGCAATCAGTATGACAATTCAACAAAAAACTAATAATTTCCACTATAAAGGACATTAATATTATATATATTAAAAAAAAAATCAACACTGAAAGGCATTTTAACTCAAGGTTGTAAATATCAGGTACATGGGGTTTGTTCAGTCTCGGTTTTACTATTTCCTCTTCAGCATTTACTCTTTGAACTCTTTTAACAATAACATGTCTGTTTCCTAATCCATGCATTTCTGAATCGGAACATTTTCAAAACTCTTATTCTGCTTTTTATCAAAATAGCAGGATGTACCAAATTCCCAAATTCAGTGGAATAAATTTAAATCAGTAATGATTGCAATAGTGTGATTTTTATCAAAGGAAACTATTTTGAATATGGTTTTTTATAATACCCTAAGGTACATGCACCATTTTTTATCAAAATAATTCTGAACATTTTCAGAATTCGGAATGTTCATGACATTTAGAATAATTTCTGAAATTAAAAGCTGTCAAGGAATGTACTAAAAATTACTGCTTTCTCATTCAACTATTGTTCAATGTCTGTTCCTATTACCCTTTAAAATACCATCTACCTTACTGAGTGAAAAACTAGTCACTTTATTAACTTGTTAGCACTGCTAACTCAAAAACAGTTACCTGGAATAGAGAGCTGGATTACGTTTCTTTTCCTGTAGCATGACAGGTACTATAAACTGATCACTGTGCCAGATTTTGTCCTTAACTAATGCCTGTGAATCCTCACTGTATGAAGGCACTGAAAAAATTTGGCCGGAATATTTTGATTATAATTTACAATATATATATACTGGGATGAGAATAGAGTCATAGAAATTTTTAGGTTAGAAAAAGCCTTCAAGATCATGAAGTCCAACTACAAACCTAACACTGACAAGTCTGCCACTAAACCATGTCCCTAGAATGCAGATTGAGTGTCCACTTCCTGTCTGCAAAAAGAATTCCAATTAAAATAAACAAATCTGCTGAATTAAAATGTGACCTAGCCTTTGTCTTCTGCCCATAAACAATGAAGCTAATAAGTAGGAGGATGATGAAAACAAAGAATGAGTTTGCAACATAACATGGGATAATGCCAGCATGTCAACATAAATTATCTTTTAAAAGTCTAAAGGTTCTTCAGCACTGATTCAAAAGGTGTATTTAGTATTAACCATCTAACTCTTCCTTTAAGCAGGACTAGTTTCATATTCAAGTAATTGCTTGTTCAGGAATTTTTGCCTGTCGTGCACAAATAGCTTTGGATTAAGCTAACCAGTTTAAGCATATGTGTATCCGATATTGGTATCTGTCAGGTAACATGATTTTGCATGTTTCTAAATGCAACAGTAAAAAAGAAACAGAAAAACAATTCAAATCTACCTCGCTCATCACATTCAGGTGTCTGAAAAATTACACAACATACAAAATCAATCCATTTTCTGAGGATCTAAGAAGAGAAGTTCTTAATTACACTGTTTTCTACTTATAAAAACTTTATAGTTTCAAAATTAAAAACTTAAGGATTCCATCTTCACTTCTTTTTAAAGTACACCAGGAAAAAAAATCCACTTCTTGCTTTTTGCTATAATTAACTAATCTTCTTACTTTGAAAAGTTAGATTGCTAAAAAACAAATGAAACTAATACAGAATTTAGCAAATTTTCAAATTTATAGTAGGTTACTCATTCAAGCAATTCAGATAGCCATCAATATAAATATAAAATGTAATAAGTGCACTTTTGAATTAATTTTTTTTTACGGATATTCATAATTTATGTTATGGAAGTTTTAATTGTCATATGTGACAATAAGGTCTAATAGAATATTTCTGGTTTACTATATGCTATAAGCATTATTACAGTTGCCTGTAAGAGATAAAATATCACAATGTTATCACATAACTGGAACACATTTTACTTGAGCACAAGACCTTAGCTTCATCTTTACCTTTTTTTTTCTTTACATTATTTATAACCCATTCCAAATATAAAGATCTAATTAAGAGGAAAATAAATATGTTATAAACTGCCACAGATCATCACTGATAGAGTCAGTTAGGACAACAAACTTCTAACTGATACAGAAGAATTACAAACTGCACTGGATAAGACTGCGGCTGGGAGAATGTTCATGTATTTGTATAATTAATTATTGTTAGGATTAACAATATCATGTTGCTCATTAAGAGTAACAGATCAACTAGAACTGTGTATATTGGACAAAACAAGGCCACCTAATAACTGCAATTATCTCATCTTTCAACTGCTCTCTTGCCCACATTTCAAAACACTTTTTTTTAACTTCTCACAGGAAACTAAATCTTTATGTCTATGAATACCGAAGACAGAAACATTACTACCTCCATCTGTCTTCACATAACTAATGAATAATTCATTAACAAATGCTAAATGGGAAAAAAATACTACAATCAGTACTTCAAAGACTGAGAACGATTCTTGTAAAAACTTTTGACAAGTGGATTTAGTAACTTTAGAATTAGACTAAATAATTACTGACCAGTGTTAATAGCTTACTGTAAGACAAAGGGTCATGTCTGAAAAATGCTAATGACACTGCAGTCCTCTTATTGTAGATCTTAAATTATTGGGCAAAACCCAGATATTTTAAACTTAATCCTTTTATAGTTTGTTCATTAATCTGTGAATTTTGCAAGCACTGCAGGTATAAAACATTAAATTATTACCATTTGTTCCTGATAAATTTGGATGGCAAGCATTTTTTAACAGTTTATACATAATAAATTTTCTGATCTGATAAAATCTATTAAGCTCGGGGGATCCAAATAAGGATCAGTCATCTAGGTTCAAGCGTTCAGTCACAAGAGTTCACATATAGGAGTGAAAAAATTAGCATTTTCATCAATATTAACTATTTGGTTTTATTTTATTATTTTACTTCTGTTGTGAGAAGAAAACAAGGTAAACACTGCTAAATGAAAAATAAGATTCCATGGATCTAGGGTAATAGGAATAGAAAGTAAAAAATCTGAATGAGCATCAGAGAACATTAAATGCTTTGGGATTTTTTTTCCCCCCACTATTGAAATACTTTCTAAATTAAAAGAAGTATTTCCAAAATGTAAAGTTTAAAGATTTAATACAAGTATTTCAAGTTGGAGTCCACAGAGAAGACTTTATTGCTTTACTGTTGTTGTTCATACTTTTGTTGTTGCTTTGGTTTTTGGTGGGATTTCTGGGTGTGTAGGGTTTTTTTGTAATGCTACTGTTCATACTTTTCAAAAACCACACTATGCACCATATTAGATTACATTCTCCATATATTGTATTAAATTACCTCACATATGCCTGAGATTTATAATGAATGGTAAGCACAGTCACTAGTATTAAATCAAAAATACTTGATTCTATATCCAGATCATGTTTGACCTTTCAGATCTGATTTTTTTGTAATCTTAAAAAAAAAAAAAGAAAAAAAAGCAGAAAAAAAAAAAAGATGGAATCTAATATGTTGCTGTGCAGAGCTCCAAGATTTTAGAAGAATTTGTCTTCATATATAAAGTCAATCTGCTCTACCAAAACACAAAACCAAAATTTCTTTGTGCCTTAGACTCTTCTCAGTGTCAAATATCCTCATTTAAAATAATTCAGGTTTTTCATACACGCATGTCCCTCTGTGTGCAAATGCCCCTGTTATGATTTGCTCTAAGAATGTTAAAATCTGATTTTAGGTTTGTTACTTAGGTAAAGTCTTCCTAGCTCAAGATAGCAATATTTAACGTTACAATATCATTCTTACCATAAATCAGATCAATTAATATTCAATATAAATGTGCCTGGAATATCTGCTTCACCATAATGAGCTTGTTTGTGTTTATAGTTGTTGTGAACTAATCAAACTTTTTGTAGCATTGCAAAATTAAGAAAAGAAAAACCCCAAAATATTCCATTATATTTAGCAGTTACTGAGGGCTACAGAAATTCTTCACTTGACACTGATGTCTAAAGTGGAAGAAACAGCATATCTTTACTGCTGTTGCCAGAAAACAGTAATTGACAGCATATTTTTCCAGTGCAGATGCCTCATTTTGATCAGTTGCACTGGCAAAGGCAAAACATACTTTTTTTTTGTATGTGGAGTTTAGCTTTACTTTACATTGCAACAGGAGGCCCAGGCAGCTATGTCAACTGTTCTACCTGAATTATAATGACAAGATGTATTTTTGCATGGTCTTGCCACGTTTTACCTTAAGTTTAGCTAGGAGGTATTCATGATCTTGCAGGAGCTTTTTTGTCTCATCTTGGTTGCTGCCAATTTCCAATAAATTTGGTGTAGATTCAGCCAGCTGAAGCTTCACCCATTTTCCACACTGTAATAACAATTACAGCCTTTAGAAAACACAGCCTTGTATACAGTATATGTACATACAAGAGACATACAGAGTATGTATACAGGAAATGTATACAGTTGCAGAATGAAGATACAGGGGATACAACATAAACTTCCCTTCATGTGAAACAGGTATTAAAATCTCAGACTGTAGTCTTATCCGATAGGAACTGTGATTTTGTTTTGCCTGTGAAGAGTAACATCACAATGAGCCCGAAAGGTTGCCTTTCAGCTGAAGATTGCATAGACAGTTAAGGAAACCTGGGGGGTGGCGGTAGGCGGAAAGTACAAATATATTACAACAAATGCAAAAACCATAACCCCAAATCTCATTTCTACCACACAGATCCAACATATCTGTATGCTGCATGTAGAGAGAGATTGCACAGCTAGCAGCAGTGGCACTTCATAGACTTTGGAATAGGAATCCAAAGAGCAATCTACCACTGTGTCCTGGAGAACACACAAAGAAAGGAAGCTTGAAAACAACCCAAAGCCTTGCTGATTCTTTCCTCGCTGTCTTGCAGAATTGCTACAGTCTGAGAAATGTAACTCAGAAATGTAATGGTGATAAAGAAGGAAACAGTGGTGTCACTGGAGGCTAGCATGGTTCCCACAGAACACAGGAGAAAAACTAAGTGTCTTCACCCTAAGCTTCAGTCTCCTTTCAACAAAATTACTCCCCTGCAGCAGCAGATGGTCTCCCAGGAAGTGTGAGAACTGATAGGAGAGAACCTTCCCACTGGCACAACTGAGGTAAGCTCATCCTGAATAATCATTCTAATTTGGTGACAGCCCAGCTCCTTATCACCTTACTTTGCATTACAGACACTCTAGTGGCTGAGGCCAGCTGTTTTCCAAGTTGCCTGGAGAACAAAGAATCAAACTGCCAATAAATTCCAGCTGAGATTCAGGACATAGGCATCCAGCTTCATTCCCCATGCCAAATTTTGTGCAAGCTGTAGGTGCAGATTCCAACTCACAGAACAGGCCTTTAGGTGCTTAGAAGCACAACTATATGTACACAAGGACTTCTACTAAATCACATGGGAATATGAATTCACAGCTTTCAAAAAATAAGCACACATCAGGTTTAGGATTTTTTTCCCATCAAATACTCCAAAAAGAGACATAGAGTCTGCATTTATGGAGTTGGTAGAATATTTCTTACGTAAAAATATTGCTGAGTACTGTTTAAAAATAACTTCTGAGGAGCCTCAACTACAATTGAAACCATGAAAATATGAAATAGCATCATGCTTATTAAATTTTCATGACACTCTGCATTTACCTCTTACTTTCTAAATAGAAAGGAAATCCTTGCCTCTAAGAGCCTACATATTTAGTCTATTAAACAAAAACACACAAGCAGAAATTGTAAACAGAAAAAGAGGATTAACTTCCAAGGGATCTCTATTTGATATTAACTGATTAAATGACATTGCCATATCATTTTATGCTAGCTATTCATTTGCACAGAACATTTAAAAGTAGCAGTAATCACTGAGTAGCGGAAAGCCAATAACAGACATGCTAGTGGTTGCTACCTTACCTTAAGTACAGCTATAACAATACTGGCATCCCCAGCTTGAACAGCTACTGAACTGACTGTTGTTGTAGAAAGCTTTTGCCCCGAACTGGCTTCATTTGACATGGTGTTTCAAAATGGGATTTCATACATTAAAGTAGACTTGAAATGCTCTTGCAAGGTCCACAGTTCATTTCAGAATGTAACAGAGTTGCTTGGATTCATTCAGCGAAACAGCTCAGCTAACACTGATTAGTCTGCCAAAAGGAAAGAACAGGAGGTTAAAAATAGACAAGTCCATTGAGTTTATCATTCTTGAGAGAGATTTGACACACCCCTAGTTTGGTAGCATTAAGCTGCTTGTTCTTTTTAGTCACCACCTGAAGTGTGAAGAGCTTCTTCCATTAACATCACCTGACACTGGCTAACCAAAGGATTCTCAAATTAAAAACAATAGGAAAAAAAATTTTTTATTGAGTCTACCTAGTGTTGTGAGGTTTTCCCATTCCACAAGTATTTTCTCATTTACTAGTTACAGAATATACTCACTCAATATAATTCTTCCACTGAGTCAAAGTTTTGAAACAGGATGAGCATGTGTATATAAGTCAGATGCTAAATCCAGTCAGGGGATTTTTAATCCAAAAATATTTAAAAGCACAGTTGACCATAACCAGAGAAGGAAGTTGCCACATGAAGAATGTGAATTCCTGCCTAAGATTATTTACCTGTTTTTCACTTTAATCATAAATTGTTTCTATAGTCTTCCTTTTATTCTAAATCAGCACAATGAAAACCTATCTAATAACTTTTTAAACTCCTCTTAATTTTTTTATTCAATACAGGAAAATTAATAGATGCCTATAAATCCCAGTATTGGCTTGGGACATTAATTCTATTGTCAGAAGCCTAGAGCATGCCACAAGGAGCCTACAGTAGGAGACAGCAGCTGCTAGGTTTCCTTCCACTGAACAGCTGAGAAAGTGACACCGGTGTTTAGGTTTGCAGGTCATTCTGGAAACACAATTCCACCCATGAAGCTACACACATAATTCTCCTCTAAGCATCTGCTTGCTTGTTTTGTTTTAGATATTGTAATATTTAGATATATTGCTATATGAACTAGATTTACTAATGGCAAACTACAGGACACACCTGCAATGAAACTAAGACCTGGAAGTAAATTCTAAAATATTTTGGACTGTAAGAAACTTAGGGAAAGCGCAGGGAATTTGTACAGATGCATCAAGGTCTGGGATTTTTTTGTTTGTCCATTCCTTCCCCATCCTATTGTTGGCAGATTATAATCTTAATCAGATAGCCATCTCCAAATGATGAGTTTCCAATAGGGCATCCAGAAGCACATTGTAACGGTTTGCTCTGAACTAAATGGGCTTGACAAATCAAAGCAATAATTTTCCCACCCCATGGGCCAAAACAGAACCATCAACCCTCATGTTTCCAGCATGGAAAAAATACCACAGTTTTCCAACTCCTTGTAACACCTGCAAGAGGCCCACAGAACCCTGCCGCTGAAACATTATAGAGATATTCATGAGACTCAGGTGGGTATTAGTGTAAAGAGTGTGGCAGGACAAAATGTTCAAAATTTAATGGCCATGCAAAAACTGGAGTGTAGAAGTCCTGAAGAAACCCCCAAAACTGAAATATAAGAGAGCCCTATTTTGGTTTGAATAGAAGGTAGATGGATCGTACAAAACTTGCTAAATACTCAAGATTTCAAAAAACCATTCCAGAAGACAAGTGACATTGGATTTTTCACCCTGCAGGCAGGACTGAAAACAGAGAGGACTCGACTACTGGAAAAAACTTGAATAAACAAACAAACAAAAAGCAGCCTCACCCTCATTAGTCTTATAAAAGGAGTTACAAACCAATTATGGCACTATGTCAAAGAGTGTCCTTGAGATCTTCTTCTCTCAGAAGCACATTTCAGCTGTACTTTCTTATGACACTAGTTGGGACAATCCATCATCTCACTTAGGTATCCAGATATAAGAGCTGTTTTTCACTCAGGTTAAATGAGTAATCATTTTTTTCATAGTGCTGACAGGTGGAAATTGTGGAAAACCACCACACTCAAGAAGCTGACCATAAGCAACTTTGGCAGCAGCTGAGTCATGTGATTCAAAATGTCTGATAAAAAAGCATGGATATTGTATTTATTTGGCTTATGCTAAATATACAACATACAAGCAGAGACTAGGTAGCAAGGAATCAGTAAAGATCTTATAATACAATCCTGGGAGAAAAAGCTGAGGATTTTGGCATTATTTGATGATCTATTTCACTTGTGTCCTGAAAAAAAGAAATTATCAAGCATGCCTTTCTCAGTCTTGTTTACTTACCTATCTCCATCTCATCCTCTCTCTGAAACAAACAAAACTTCTGCTAGAAGCCAGAAGCAAGCAGACTATCTGTGTCGAGAGAAATATTTTCCCCTTGCTATTGCTGTGTGAAAGACAAGAGTAAGAATGACAAGAGGAAACAAGCATTCACCAGCTGTCCACAAGAAACAGCGAAACTGGAGAAATGAACAGAGGAATCAATCTCAGGAAAATAGAAAAAAAGATGAAGTCTCTCTAGTGTAAATAACACCAGGTATTATCTGCAACAGCTATATGTAAAAGGATTTGAGAGGATAGATAAAACTCACTTCATTTTCAACTGTGTTTTATCAGTAGCTTTTTCTCATGTGTAGCAAGGGAAGCGTGCTAATCAGTTTTGACAGCTGTGCATAAGGAAAAGGGCCTACCTTTCTTGGAGATAAGTTGTCTTTCGGTCAGAGCTTTGGAGCTGCCAGTGCACCATGAAAACGCCTCTGGAAGAGACAAAGTCCCTTCCCTGCAGCTCCAAACATGTGACATTCTTCACTGTGACTGGTTTGTAAACGTAACAGATTTCCTTTCCTTTCTTTTCCTCACACCTGGGAGAACTGATGTACACAGCAAAGGAGGGAAGGAGAACAAGGGAAGGAAGCTTCCCTCAAACTGACGGGTCTTCATGTGGCTTGGAAAAAGGTACGTAAACACTGCTTCCCTCTGGTAGCCCCACCTGAATGAGGGACAAAGATGTCAGACCTCTCCAAGCCTGTGGTTGCTGCTTTTTTGTTGGCTCCTACAATCTTACGTTTTAAGTAGGCACCATTTTCAGATATCATCAAGAATGACGGCATGAGGGCGTGAATGCATGCAGTCCACAAGTCTCCTCAGGTTCATAAAGAGGGGGCATGGAGGTCACGTACACACATGAGAGCTGAGCAGGAGGTGCGTATCTCTCCTGGAAGAGGCTCATCTTTATCCTGTGCTGGTTGAATGAGTTTCTAGATGACTAACTGGTTGAAATCCTAACCAGATTTTCTCATTCCTAAACCCCAAAACCAGTTATAATAAAAAACATTCCAGCAGCAGTAGCAGTCAAGGAACGAAGGTGGGAAACAGAGACCCCTCTACCAGAGGTCAAAAAGTAAACGAATGGCATGTGGGGAACGGTACCAGCTCTTTCTTAACAATCAGAAAGCAGTGCTTCTTTCAGAGAATCATGATGTGAAAGCTGCCAGAAAACATAAGAAAACTGAGGCACTTGCAGGCATTACCCTTTTACTCAGGGCTGGAGAGGTAGAACAAGCCCAGGCACAGACTAACCTTCCGGCACCCAGGGGCAGAGCAAGGACCAGAGGAAGCTACTCCAGTGCCCCCAGCAGGGCTGTGAGATGCGAACACCGGCTGCAGTGGAGGGAAGCCTGTCCTCCCACAACCCCCGGGCCACCCAGGGCTGAAGGGCAGCCTGGCCAGGCCTCGCTCACAATAGTGAGGAGCTTCTGCTGCCAAAGTTATAGAGACAGGGCAGGTGCATTGAGAGGTGGAAACTCCCTGCTCCCAAGAGCAAGGTAATTATTACCAGCAAGAGGGACGGAAAGGGGCAGCCAGGGTAAATGAGATTAACTTCAGGTAGGTAACAGCTGACGCACAGGCAAAAGCTGTTTCCCTGTCAGCTTAGAGTCCATGAGCTTATCAAAAGGCAGCCCTAAAATAGCCTGGAACCCTGATGGCCCAAAAAAAAAAAAGGGCGTTGTGCTGTCTTTGCCACCATGGAAAGGAAAGGCACAGAAGTCCCAGTAAAGGGCTAGGAAACAGCTGTGAAAACATGCTGAAAGGGTAAAAGACACCCTGCCTGGCTCCAGCAAAAAATGGTCTCTGTTGCCTGAATTATTGTGTCATAGTTCCCAGATTTTATTTAAAACCATACAAGTATAATGAAACATTATAGCTTGTATCTTTCCTTTCCTTTCTTCCCATGCATCACCCTAACAAAAAAAACAGTTCTAGTCTTGCTCCTTCATCAGCAGTCCTGAAGACACTTTATACTACCCTAAGAAAATAACATGAAGATAAAAAGCTACCCCAAAAAGCATTGTCACACTAAGCAAAGACCAAAAGCAAAGGTATTCTGGCTCGTCCATGCCACATTGAATATGTCTTTGTGAAAGAAAAAAACAACACTGCTAACTGTAAAATCAACAGTGTAGCAGAGATCAAGAAACTGGCAAACAGTTGCAAAGAACAAAATCACTATTTGTTTGCTTCCAAGGACAACAGCATTTAAAAACACCCATACAGTAAACAGACCTGGGAAGCAGTGATAGCTGATACCGTTCAGCCCACTGGTTATTAATTTTTCATGTCCCACTCTTTCATTTCAAAGCATTCTCTTTATCCCTCTTTTTGGATCCTACAGGATTTCCACAAAGTATACATACTATTTGTCCCTAGCACTTGTCAAAATAGTACCTAAATCCCTTCTATTTATTAAATGATAGAAGAAATCCACCAGATTTAGCTAGGGCTTCCAACCATATGTTATACCACTTCAGCCTCCATTCTCATTTTAAGAAAGCTCATATAGCCTTTAAATTCAGAACTCCAGCTTCTAAATGTTATATAAGCAAGGACTATTATTTCTAGCATCTGCTACTTAAAAAAAAATGTCTTCCCCTTCTTTACATCCCTTATATAAAGGATAAACAGGAATGCTGACACACAGGGACTGCTTACATTTTTATTCACTTGGCATCACGCTACTTGAATTCCTGAAGAGTGTACAATCGCAGTGATTGTTTTCAAATATACAGAAGTAATAAACCTAGCATGGTGGTAGACTACTCATCTGATCTGCTTTCTTCTTAGCACATGACTTAAGGTGGGCATCATAAAAAACTGAGGTCTTGAGATCTCCACCCAAGCAAAACAAATTTCTTGTCCCGAGAATGCATTAAAACATCAGTGCATTCAGAAAGAACTTCCTTCCCTTGTTAAACACAACACTGTGCAAAAAAAAAAAATCATTTCTTTAGATTATATACTCAGAGATAGGCATGAAGGTGTTTCATACAACAATAAACTGGGGGAAGAGGACAGAAAGCACTGTAGGGAAAGGAAGAAAAAGAGAGCAAGAGAAGAGCACAGGCCCCAGCAGTAACTCTTAAAGCCATTGGCAGCTCTGACTGATTAACAGATGTACCTCTAAGCCAGCTCATTTGAACAGATGTCTCCAAATCCAAACACATTAATTACTTAGTATCATTTTCCTTTGCAAGTTTGATTTTATTTCAGTGTCACATTTAATGAAAAATGCAAGTTAGATTTATAATTTTCCTTCAAGGGACGGCTATAGGAAAGACTGAAAGTAAAAAATGACTTGCTGACTATTCAAGTGTAAATATTATGGCAAAATATAAACAATGAAAGTTTTAACTGTCTAATGGGAAGTAGATTCAATAAAACAGAAAACAATACACAACTGTGCAGCCCACAGTGGTCGTATCTCATTCTCTCCCACATCCCAGGTGAAGAGACCAGCATGTCCACTGAAGAAGTGGCAGGGAGACAAGCACTACTTCAGTTTTCTCAGAATCAGCTGGAGAGCAGACTTACCCCATCAGCACCCCCAGGGAAGCTCAACATTTCTGCCTCACTGGCTGTGATCCAAAGCAAATGCTGCACGGTCTATGGAGCTGTACTCTGATGAACACAGAAGTGGAGCAGTTTTAACAGCTCACAGGTGGTATGGACACTCGTCAGCCCACTTGCAAGCTTGTCAACAGAGAAAACAGTGTCCTGGTTCATTCAGCTCTGTTAGGAGAATAAGGAGGCATCAGATAGTTCATTAGTCCGTTGCTCAGTCTTCAGCAGCAGAAAGAGGACAGCTTATTACACAAGATTAATATGTTCCATCGCCCATGCATGTAAGGAAAGCCAGCAGGACTTTTGTTAGTAAATTCCTTGGGAGCATTTGAAATTCCTTCCTGATGTGGTGTGTTAGCACAGCGGAGTATGCGCCCTGCACCAAATATAGATGCGAGACAGGCTATGCTTTTGTTCCTGTAAAGAAGCAAGACTAAGATGCAGATTGTAACCTACAACTAAATCTCAAGGCAGCTGCAAACTGTCCCACTAATAACATAAATGCAATGACAGGTTTGCCTCACGTCACTAATTTCTGTGTTTAACTTACATTTACAATTTAGCTGTATTGAAAGAATGTTTCTCTTCAACTATTTTTCAATGTTTATACATGAATACAGATGTCCGTATTAAACTTGCAAAATAAAAACATCAGTTAAAAATCGCACAGACTGTTCAAACAGACAAATGCAACAGTGTAACTGGGTTCTTAGGACCACCTTTTAAGAGTGAAACATCTCTGTTCAATCTTGTCAGAAGTAATCAGCCAGCAATGATGCAGAGAGATCAGAATGAATGATGCAAAAGATCAGTATGAGTCATTTATTTAACAGGAGACTAATTAAATAGATATAATCACACTAACCACACCAAAACATTAAAGCCATATTGTTGCTATTGTTTGGAAGAGTTCATTTAAATGCACACAAATTTCAGAAAGCTAAATTTAGAACAAGAACAGAGGTATGCTAAACAGCCACACTTCTAATAGCACAAGACTTTAGATATCTGATATTGAGGAGGATTTACCCAGAAGAGAAAAATTCAGCAGAGGAGCTGAATTCGAACTGTTAAAAGAACCACAAGGCTTTAGAAGCCATTTTACGAAGTCATTTATCAGCAGAGCTATAAATAGCAGTGCTTTGTTTTGTTTTATTTTGTTTTAAAAAGATAAAACTTCACCTTCTATAACTCTGCTACTCGAAGGTTCAAACTGCTGAGCATTCCTCTGTATGCTCTGGTCACAGAACATTTTTTTTGCAGTCATACAATTACCATGGGCTTTCTATTTCTTTTACTAAATCAAAAGAAACTTTAACAAAATAAATCCCTTTTCCAAATCATGGTACCTCAAACAGCAAGCACATACCAGATCCTGCTTATATCTTCCATGTTAAGTGCTGAATTGTGTGACATACTTAGAAGAGGTTAAAGAGCAGGAAGCACTGAAAATTCCCCCGCCCCCGCCTTTACCGATTTCTCTGGAAATGGGTTGTTAAACAGATGTGTGCTTATTGCTGACACCCAATGTAGCAGGCGTGTGACTACAGGATATGAGGATACTCCCTCACTGTTCCCAGTTTAAGTGACTCTTCACACTCTAAACAGCAGTGTGTAACACTTCAGAATTCAAGTTCCACATAAATTTAGAAGGTATTGCTATAATTAAAGAAGAATAACATCTTATCTCCCCCTCCTCCATACTCTTTCAATGCAAATTGAAGAGCAGTTAAGATTATTTTACGTGCTTCAGAACCAGTTTGCCATCCATAGCAAAAACTCCAGCTGTTTTACAGTCACAAGGAATAGGTGATTTGTTCCTTGTTCTGGGTCTGAGTGCTCAAACTTCATTTGATCTGCATCTTTCGGTCTGCAGTAGCAGGTGGTTCAGTGGAAAAACTTGGTATTGAGACTGCTGTGCCTTGGCAGTGTGTTCCCATCACAGTCTCTTCAGGCTCTCATACAGGGTATGCGGCTGCAAGGCTGTGCCCAAGATGCAACGATTGTTTCAAGTCTCAAAGAACGCTGCTTTCACTCCCTTGACTTCTACACAGCATTCCTTCTCTTTTACACCCAATAGCAGCCACAGAAGCATCAAACTCTTAGGAGAGCCACCAAACTGTTCTGTTACTTGCTCCAAGCAACTTCTGGCTCTTCCAGCACACAGATTAAAGATCAGCCATCTCAGTACCTCAGGTTTCTCCTCTTGAAATTTAGCAGGAGGCAGAACATGTAGCTCTCACCATAGCAAAATAGTGTAAAATGGGAGAAAAGAAAATTTAGATAAGGATGATGAAACAAAAAGAAGGAATTCAAACAGAGATGGAAGACAAAAGACTGGACAAAATTCTGAACCAGGAGAAGTCATGATGAATGACAAGCTGAAAGTTGCAGGAGTGAATTAGGGACTGACAAGCAACAGCAAGTGCAAAGGTACACATGGCACTTGGCCCCCTGAGGAAAGAGATGTCAGGGTATGGAAAGATCTCTGTATTGTTCAAGAACTTGTCACTGACATGTCTGTGCTATGTATAAGCTGAAAGAGTTTGTGGGAAGGTGGCACATACATTAATTGAGAACCTAATGTTGCAATTAGTGTTGGATCAATTTAAATCATATTTGGATCTGAGCTTCCAGATTAGTTTTATTCTTAAGACTAAATTGTATGTAATAAAACAGTGCTCTGTGAGCATAACTAATATGCAGTGAATGAACACAGGAGTTCACAACAAAACTGCGGTACTGCTGTAAAACAAATCACTAATGGATTGTCTGTAACCTTGCAGTCAGTGTTAGATCTGCAAGGTATATAGGCTCTATCCGTGACCCTTTTACGCATGCACAGTTACTGTACACCATCCACATCAGTGCTGGTCATGCAAATAAACTAGTTGCTCAAACATACCTTTTTCAAGAGCTTTATCTATCACAGACTATCCAGTAACACATCCAGGATTCTACTGCCATGACAGAAGTTTTTTCCTCTGAGTGGTGGAAGGATTTATTTTAGACCACTTTTTCCAATTTCTCACACTATCTTCTTTTGAATACTCAGTCCTCCCGTGCACTCTGCAATCAGCTGCTTTGATTAAGGAACTCTATTGTTTAAGTACCTTAAATTTCACACTTCAAAATAGGTTTGCTAAGGACAATAATCACAATTTTTGCTTGAAAAAGGATACAAAGTAGAAGCTTAATATGGCAGACACAGAATTTTTGGTATAATTTCCTGTGATCATCCTCACAGTGCAGAGGCAAAAGGCAGGCAAGCACTAAATATGAAATTTGCAGTCAGATGCAAAGCTGTACTGGGAACACTCTATGTGTAATGGGATTGGAGAATGAAGGGGAAAAGAAATATTAAATCAAGTAAACTGTAAATTTCTTGCATTTTTCAAACTGCACAGAGATTCTTGTTTTGTTTTTAACCTTAATGCAGTTTCAGTATTAGAATGCTTGAGGCAGAGTCCTGGGGGACACATTCTCCGTCATCACAATTTGCCTGAGCGTTATGGCTTAAGAACAGTGCTGTGTCCTCAACTAGCAACAGTAATATTGCTAAAGTGCCAAGGTAAAATTCACATAGTGTAAAATAATTTGCAAATTAAGGTTTTGACTGGTCACATTAAAAATACATGGACATTTTTACAGAAGGTTTACAGAAGACATCATGGCATCACCAGCTGTGCAGTAAGTATGCACCAGTATGTTCAGATTCCCCAACCTGCAAGTGACCATTAATCATGGTGCTGCTCTTAAAGCATCTTGTCAGGGCCTGAGGTAAAAGGGATGCATATTAAGTAAATTTAAAATAATACTAATGCTAATGTATTTGCAAATCCTTAACATTTCTCATTTGTCTATTTTTACATTTTTTAATCATGCAATATGTTTTACAGTACTGATCGGATTTGAAAAAAAATCTTAAATAATCCCTCTAAGTTGCAACGTTAATTAGATTTTTCTTTTTCAGTCATACAATTAGCATGGGCTTTCTATTTCTTTAACTAAATCAAAGAAACTTTAACAAAATAAAATATTTCACTGCCTTGTTTTTTTTAACTCACAGAGCTTGAATCCAACATAAGCAGTTCCAGGAGAGAGCTGAAAGATTAAAGGCCACATTTCAATGAGGAATCCCAGAACCTGACATAAATTAAGAAAACTTTGAGTCCTCTGTCATCCTTTCATTACAGGGAAGTATTTTCAGAAGGCAGAGATAGATGACGTACCTTAAATCATCTCTTGCCAATGCAGTCAGATTTGCAGTAACTATGTTTTGGAACCTTGCTTTCAGCATTCTACGCATAAAAATAGCATGCAAGAGTACTTCCTGGGCTGCATAGTTTTGATTTGTTTTCCTTTCCCCACTTGATCTGATATTTAGTAAATATTCTGTATTTAACCCCCTTTCTTCAAGTTGATCTTTCTCACTGTGTTAACATTTCTTCCGTTTTCAGGGTATTTTGATTAACTGATTTCAAAGACGAGCTTGATGTTTCCAAACTTCCTTACAGCCCACTTATTGACACTGCATGATTTTTATAAATATTTTCATCTTTAATTAAACTCCTACAATTCATAAAACGTTTTTATTACACTTCCTTGGTTTTCCTTCCTTACTTTTTGCTTACTACTGCTCTTCAGGTCTCACTACCATAAATAGGAAAAAGCCCCATCATTGCAGTGTTCTAAGATTATAATTATTTGAGCTGTGCTTTTTATATCCTTTGTGTATGTGTGTGATTTCCATGACTGTAACATCTTACCCACTCCTAAATATTAATGAATTTTCCCTACAGCAACCCTGTGAAGAAGGGAATCCTTCAGATGTCATCCCTTCCTAATACACACACTGGCAGCAGCAACCATTCAATCCTGAAAGTAAGTTCTTGTTAACCATGAAGGAACTCTTTAAAACATCTGTTGGATCACTTGCAAAGTCTTTGGCAAAATTGTTCGTGGGGAAAAAGAGTTTAGTGGTAGACATGTGGAAATACCTATGATGAGGTAGAGAAGATAAAGCAGTACCTAGAGAAGAGGTAAACAACTAACAGCGAATAGCAAAAAGAACTTGATTAGTTCACATTTCTGTCACCTGCAAAAGCAAATGCCACGGCTTCTTCATGAATGACTGGTTCTGCAGAAGTAATGCACCATGAAATGATGCCTGGAAATGGCAGCTACCTAACAAACTGGCCATATACAATGGGTGGATATAAAAACCTTACAAGGCTCATTAAGCATGCAGCCTGCTACAGCCTTTTGATGCTGTTTCAAGCAAAGCATTAATAAAAATCTTGGCTACAGCTGACCACGTTACTGTTTCTTTAGATACATTTGTCTCAGAGAGGAGGAAGGCCACATTCTGAGAGACAGTGTGTGACAGAAAGCAGGCAGTGGGGCTTCACAATCATCATCGCCACAGATACGTGGAGTAGCAGTCAAATGTGTTGAACACACTGTACAATCTTCACCCTGCTGAGACTAGCTTGCAGTTATCTGTCATCCAATAGAGGCATGCAGAGCTGCATACACAGGTTTAGGAAGAGAACAGTCTGCACTTAGTACCAGTTTAGAATATGGCTTGTTCCCAAGTCTCTGAAAGTCAGACCCACATCACACAGTCATATTAAATATCAAGTAACCATGCTGTATACTTTCCTGTGGAAAAGGTTAAGACACCAGGAAAGCTACTCTCTTTTCTAATAGCCTAAAGACCTTAAAAGCAGAATGGAATGTTAAAAGACACCTACCACTTGGCCAAGATTTAGATGAAAAAAGAGTATCCTGGCACAGTACTTGAAAAGTCCTGCTGGAGCCCTCCAGCCCACTGTAACCTCTGATCCTGTGAGGCATGGGGATCATGCGCAATCCAGTCATGCCTGGAAAGTCAGCAGTGAGAGTGGGAACGTGCTGTCACTTACCCAGCACCTGAAAACTTTTGCTGAGGAAATGAACATGGGAAGCAGAAACCCCCAGATTGAGATGGCAACCCATACACTGCAAACCAAGCACAACAGTGAATCATGTCGGAAAATTACGCTACCGAAATTAGCACATTGACTGCTCCTGCCAAAAAACAGAGGGGTTGACAGGTATTTGTTAATGCTTTGTTCTTGGTACCTCTAGCAAAAGGTCTTCCATCAGCTGTTCTGAGAGGTAGTTCCTACAGCTAAGCTTCACTCTCCATTTTATTTGTGTAATTTACAGATGATTAGAATTAATGTTTTATGGAAGATCTGCCAAAGGGCTCAATGAAGCTTAAAGCCCAACCTATAATCATGCAGCGTGGGTAGCATATATATCCATTCGAATGGAGCCAGTGATACTCAGGACTTCACAGAAGTCTGAGAATCTTCTCTACCTTGAGCTGTCACAGCCTTATCCTACATTCAATACATATCTACAGGGAATTGTCCAAGCATCTTACTGAGCATATACTATGACCCACAGTTAACACAAGATCCCCTTCTCATCAATTTCTAATCTGCTTAATGTGTTGCCTTCTGAGAGCAACAGTATTGAACAGAACAGAATAGAACAGAACAAGATTTGAGATACGTAATGTCAGGATCCTCAGAAGAGTTAATGTATTTATATGGTCACAAGTGGAAATCATGTTTTAGCTGCCTATGGGAAGCAGTCATAAGAAGCAATTTTGGTCACACGCAGTCAGTGGCATAGTGTGCTGTAGAAGTCTGACAGATAAGCTGTGGCTAAATCACCCTTCCCAAAGACAGACTGTTCCATACTGAGTATTAGAAACTAGGGTTAGTTACAGAGTCTGCTCAAACATTTTAAGCACAGATGTGTGAGCTTAATAAATCAATAGCATACTTTACACAGCATATAGTATTCCTTCATGTACAAATCCAAAGTGAATTAGAGGTTTCTTGAAGAGCTTTCATCAGTGGTGTGTGACAGTAATCAATGGGTAGCTGTTTGTGGAACAGTTAGAAGACTTCCTAATATGTTAAAACCACATTTTAAAATTGCAGAACCATAAAATTCCCCCCATGCTTAACAACTTTTAATCACATTTAGCTTTTAAGCTACTTTGTGTGCTAGTTACCTGTGCACAAAAAGGTAGTTTTTCCTGTGGCATTAGGCAGTCCCAACATATTTGACATTTCAATGCTGTCATTAAACTGCCAACAAAACAGCATTGTTTTAAAACCTGTGGTTTGTCTGTAATAAAAATAGCATTTTGGCATTTCTGTTCATTACTAAAGTAAATTATCTGCACAGTTGCTGGTACAACCACTTGTTTTCTCTTAACAACCTTAACAACCAAAATGATAAACTTTAGAGTGATTAAGGTTTCCTTTGTTTTTCTTTGAACTTCAGAAGTTTGAAATGTTACTCTAGCTCTTTGCTCTCCAGCTTGTAAACTGTAGATATCACTAGTAACTGGAAAATTCACGGAACTTTTCAACTGAAGTTAAATCAGGATTTTTCACTTTGTTTTTTAATCTTTTCCAACATATTTCCTTAGCAAGTTTGAAATTTAAAGAAAACAGGCTTTTATCTCCCCTCCATACAAAAGAATAATTTGTGTCCCGACTCAACCTCTCTCTTCTCTGTACTACATTCCCCCAGTCTTTGCTGCAAAGACCGATGTCAACTAAAGTCTAATTTGATAGGAAAAGAGAAAGCTGTTGCTTTAATTTTCATTGCCGTTTTGAGGTTAAGTGTATCATTAATGTTTTACACATGCTAATTACTTTTTAGTATCCCGTCTTTACACATTCTTGTGTTAGCATAACTAAAATTTTACAGTCACAGAAGCGTGTATTTTTGAGGAGTATCTTTGATACATGATATGTTGTCTTCCAATCTGAGAGAATCAGAGGAGTTCTCACGTTTAATGATTTACCTTCAGGTTTCAAATTAACCTTGAAGTCACAGAAAAATTGTCCAGAACTACCGTGTGTTTGCAAGACCCACACAAAGGGACCCATTAGAAGCGGAAAACCAAGCTCACTTTTGTGTGGTTAGTCAGTCTTGTATTTCCCATACAATAAATATCCACAACAAAACTACCTCCACTAAGCATCAGATGAAAAATGTCTTTAAAAACTCCTTGACTTTATATCCTTGCAAAAGGCATGCAATTAGTTTTTAAGATGCAGTCTTTACAGGCATCAATACTATAATGATGGGACTATTTAAATGGAGGAAACAAAAGTGGGATGGCCTGTGGGAATCAGTGTTGCGTATTAGGAAATTGTGGAAGTGACACACTGCAGAAAAGACTCTGTCTACTGAGATTCAAAATGACTGTGCAAGTTGGAACCAGAAATATTATAACTACTTGACTTTGTACCTTATTTCAGAGTACATCACTCTTCCACAAACCTGAAAAAGACGATATCTATACAGAGAGATCACAAACTAATTACCTTGTTAGAATTACAGATTACTCAGTTTTTAGACCTACAGTTCACATCGAGCCGCTTTTCCAGCTATTGCATAGGCATGGATTGATATCCTGTATGCTTAGACTAACATTCTGATTTTTTTCTTTAAAGCAGAACATAACCCTAACATAACTAAGCATTTTTCACAGTGCTGACTCCCTTTTTACTATTGCAAGAGTCTGTAGAGATATGAGGGGCAGACTTCAGAAGTTAAGAATCACCAAATCTTCGCTTTCATCCCTGTATATCAGCATTTTAGCTCTGGAATTTACACAATGTGGCATTACAGAACTTCATCTATAGCTCCAAAGCTTCCTTTCTTCCTCCTTCCTAATCATCTCCTTATACAGATTAAAATTATCCTGTAGAAAGAATTCAGGAAACAGATTAATATAACATCATTACATCATTACTGTTGAAAGCCTACGACAAGCTCCCCTTGCAATCATAACTGACACTTTTCTTTTACTGGGATGGAAAAATCTTTCCCTTATCTCTGTCAGCTGGCGCTGATGTCCTTCGGCTAGCATAATGGTGTAAGTGCTATATAATCCCACTGCACACACAAGCCCTCTCTACCTACTGCTGTACCACCAGAGTAACTATTTGAATGCTGAGTCACACAAATCTCCATAAGTCAAACCTATTTTTTCCAAAAATAAGTATAAACCGAACTCCATTATTCCTACTAATCACGATACAAAGTGAAGCAGTAAACACAATCAAAGATTAAGGAAAATTGTACAAATGCCTGCCACCTTTCACAGTTGAAAGAGCTTATACATATAAGCATTTTATATGACTGCCAGTCTATCAACTGATAGCCCTACTAAAAACGGATAACAACTAGTGAGCTGATCACCAAACAGGCAGAGCAAGAGCCACAGGTGAAGCCATCATTACTGCTTTCAGTAGTACCTGCACGGTAACACAGTACCTGAAGTAACAACAGATGATTGGAGCAGTTTTGCCTTTTAGGCACATCTCTATATATCTCATTGACTTTGTATGCTATTAAGGGTTGTACATTTCTAAAGGTTCAACCACAGATGACAAATTGACTAAAACAGCGCAAAAACCTCTATCGCAATTAGTCATATCCAACAGTATTCTTAACAGATGGTGTTTATTCCATTCTTTCAGTCAGAAGTCTCAGTATAAGAAGGATTCAGAAAAATCTGGCAGACTCATGCAACATGACCTAGAAAACTACTTGCCTTCATTCCCGATACGCAGAAAATGGCCAAAGTGCTGGTTAATAGCACCTTACCAGCCACTTCATTTCCCTAAAGGCAAAGAAGGAGAACAAAAGAGAGAGCGGGAAAGCTGGCATAGCCCAAGGGGTCGTATCGGAGAGTTGAACAGAGACAACAGGGCGAGAGTCAGAATCCTCTGGCCTCTAGGAATGCCAGACAAGATAAGAAGAGCCTCAAGATTGGAATTCATACACTGAGCCAAAATTAATCTCAGGGTTAGTAGGGTGAACAGTCGTCAGTTCCAAGTTGTACATGCAGCTGTCACACGAATGGGTCAGGAGCTACTGATACTGCTCTGGCTTTGCGTATGTTGTTGAGCCCCTAAACAGAGTAAGAACAGAACTAAAAAATAAAATAAAATACAGAAAAACCTGCAAATAATCTTAGTGTTTATAGCATATGCTTACTGTAAACTAGTACTTCAGTGGGATTTTATACTGTAAGCCATTATTCACTGTGAGTAGATTCAATTTACTTTTTTTAATTTGCATTTTCTATTAAACATTTGCAGATTTTTATGTTTGGGTTCTTTCTAAATAAATTCCTCTCATCCAAATATTAGCCATACTAACAGCAGTCTTCTCAAATGGAATCCAACAGCTAACTTTTAGAAAGTTATATTGAAAGTCTCTTTAGAAATAAGGTCTGTGAAACTGCAGTTGGTTTTAAACTAGTATTAAGTGTAATATTATACCACTGCATCACATGAATCAAAAAATAATTGGATTTCCTCTGCCAAAATGCCCTGAGAAAAAAAATACCTTCATCACTGAAGTTACAGATAAGCCATCAAGTTTGAATTATTTTTTACAGAAATTGCTCTATTTGACACTTTTCTCTAGAGAAAATGCGTAAAAACTGTGACAAGTACGTAAATATATCTGAATTACAGATCCATCAAGAAAACCAGAAGAGCACTAACAATGCCTCAGGAAGAGAGAATTACCTTTACTGTGAGCAAAATATAGTACAATACTATACCAGGTAATTAGACCTACAGCTGTTTCACGCACAGTATTATAAAATGGTCAGATACCACACCATCACCTTCCAGTAATTATAATACTGAATTTATCCAGTTTAAATCCTGAAGAGTAAGAAGTTAACCAAGTTACACACACATCTGATTTTATTTCAAATTCCCTTAATAAATTTTATTACTAATCTCTGTTTCATGTTTATGAACTTTAATTTTTCAGTAGATTAAAATCTTTTACCTCAAAAGGTACTACATCAGGGATATTTACATTATTCAAGATTTTCCATTCAAAGAGATGCATACCCATCTTACATGAGAACAAAACTATTATTAACACAACACTGACTTACGCACATAATATCATAAGTACAACTGCTGTAAGAAAGTCAGAAAACAACCAAACCCAAACCTGACTCTTTCTCCTATTAATAATAGTTCAAGAGCAGTTCCCCTTATAGCTACAGTGTGTTAAAGGGTATTTCATAACACTTTGTAAATATACTGGAGGAGTGATGATTTTTACTACCACTTATGGCAAACACATGACATTTGGGAATACAGACCAGAACAAATTATCATTAGATTTTAAAAAGATGATTTTTATTAAGCACAAACAGCTTTTAATACATTATCAATACAAATAGGAAAACATCTGTTTAATGGATTTAATATATCAAAGATTTGATGGCAGGTTGCATACTGGCACAATAAAAATGATTTTTTTTTTAAAAAGTATTTCAAATTAAAATTATAGGGTCACCACTGTCTACACTGCAGGAACTTGCCTACAGTCTAAAATTACTACATCACCTGGGCATAGAGGGAAGCAAAGAACTACAATTTCATAATACGGAACTCCTAACACTTTAATTAGCACCATTCAAAGCTTGCATCAGCTGTTTAACCGAGAATCAGCTGACAGGTCAGATAAAGCTTTACAGCAAATTTCAGTGCAAAGTTTACAGTTCCTTTTCATAAGATACTTGGAATCTATGGTTTCATAGCATGTTAAATAATTATGGCTTGATAGATGTACAGTGTTAAGATGCTGAGAACATTTACTTTGAAAAATAGATGATACTTGCAACAGCTGTGAAATGCATTTTGATATATTATGCCAAATTCTGTAATATGCAAACAACATGCTGGATTACAAACTGAAGTCCTACTATGAATTTATAGGCAAAGGTCAGTATTAGCTCTCTGGGGTAGTGGCTTCTGGTTGTCTCAGCTGCTGCTTTTTCAGGCTAACTAGCTTCATCTTCTCTCTAATGTGTTCTGCTGCAGAAGCCATATCACTTGGGCTCCCAAAGTACTGTTCAGACCTGGAAAAAAAACCAAACAAAAAACAAAACAAAACAAAAACCAAAACAAAACAACAAAAAAAAAACAAAACCCAAAAGTTATCAGTGAGAAGCAAGAAAGTAAATGAATATACACATTAATAGCACTAGAAAACACAAAGCAGATAAGGAAAAGAGGCACTTTTTTATCTTGAAATTTAAAAGCCACCTTTAAAAGGCTTTGGAAGACTCAGTGATGAGACTTAACAGCAGATCTTGATAAAATTATTACAAATGCTAAAGTACTAGCATTTGTAATAATTTTTTTTAAACCCAAAAAATTCACTCAACAGAAGGTTGAGAGCAGTGAGGCACTGGAACAGGTTGCCCAGAGAAGTTGTGGATGCCCCATCCCTGGAAGTGTGCAGGCCAGGTTGGATGGGGCTTTGAGCATCCTGGTCAAGTGGAAGGTGTCCCTGACAGTGGCAGAGGGGTTGGATCCAAACCATTCTATGATTCTAACAGCAGGGTGCTGTTCTGTAAGTGCAACTAGATACTTACTAATTTTTTTTTACCTCCCTTCTCTGGCTACCCCCCAAGTCAGTCTGTCAGTTTTAAGTACTATGACAATCAAGGAAATCTCTCTATAGATGTATTCTGAGGCTATACAATTGCTGCATTATTGAAGAACTCTGTGTGTGAAGTCAGCCACATGCTGTCAATTTACGTTACCTGTTTCTCAGACTGAAAAGAACACATGGCTGTGTAAGTTGATTTCTCCCATTCAAATACAAAAAAGGAACAGCTGAAATGCTAGGGAAACCACTAAGCTGTCAGCAAAATGAGAACTGGAACAGAATACATGTTTCAGAAGAACAAGAAATGGAGGTAGGACAAAAGACTTCAGACAGAGTTGGTGGGGGACAGGCCTTAGCAGACAGAAAAGTTATTTTACACAGGAGTAGACTAGTTTGATTAGAGAGCTCCAAAGACAACAGACTGCACAGCTGCACATGGGATCACAGCATGGGTAAATATTTTTCCTGATGCAGAGTAGACATGAGGAGGACAGGGAACAGTGACCTGGTCTTCCAAGAAGATACTGACAAAAGTCCGAAGTGGTGAAGAGGGTGAAGATGACACCTCCAAGCATTTTGTGCCATTTTGTGTGTTTCTTAAACTATTCCTACTAATGAGTGAACCCTTTGTAAATTGTTTAATGCTTCAAAAATAGAATGCCTAGGGATGGTGAGCAAGGGATCCTGGGATTTCAGACAGTTAAGATCTATCTTTTGAGAAGGCAGACACACGTAATTCTGCTGATATGCCAGAGGGATGAGAAACAATGTTCAGGATTCAGTCAACCTAAAATACAGGCATAGACATACCTATAGTTATAGGAGCATTATGTTAGGACTCAAAGTGTGCCAAACGTTTTATGGGGAGCTTTCCCAGGTTTTAATGTTTTGTTTTTTTTTTTACCTTAATAGTCTATCTGCAAATGACATCTCATCTGTTTTATAAACAACAGTTGCTAGTTTTACCAGGTCACTGAAATCTGCTATGCAAAAATTAAATCAAAATACTTCAAAACCCACAAGACTTCTTGATCAGTGGCTTTTTTTTCTTTTTTTTTTTTTTTTTTTTTTTTTTACTTTTCTGTGGGTTGGTTTCTTTGGGGCTTTTTGTGTGTGGGGGCTGTTTTTTTCCTCACTGCTATAAAGTCCTCACTACTTGTTCAGGCCTGTGTCCATCTCCCACGGATAGCACTCCTTAGTGAAGGAAACTATACTGCACAGGGAACATGAGACTTTGGAAACAAGATGACAGAAAACTGATTTTCATGACCCACTTCCTGTAACTGTATTTTTCAGATTGATTTTCTGAAGTCAATAAATGCTGTTACCTGATATCATCTCATAATGTTTCAGCCCCTAATTAAAAATATTGATTTCAAATCCCATTCATTATGGTGTGGGATCCTACACGCGGACAGCCTAGTTCCAAGCCTTGGTTATACCGAGGTAGAAGAAATTAACTATACACTCAGCATTGCAATGTACAAGTGTATTTTACTGAACATAGAAAACTGAGTTTTATTATGCGCAGATTCCAAATTCAATTTGCTTTTTTAATTCAAGACAGCCACCAATTTTAAATTAGTATCAATAGTTCACATGGGAAGTACTGTTTCATTTGCTGAATGAATCAAATGTAGATTTATTTTTAACGTATTGGCTTAAAACTTCAGATGGGTAGAATTGCAAATAAATTAGTCAAAATACCATGACTCTAAACTCATCTTTTTTCAGGGAGAAGAGACTGGGACTGGTCATTCTTTTGTTGCTTTCACACACCTTGTTAGTGTAAAGACTGCATAAATCTAGTAATTGCTGAATGTGAAAAACTCATTACTTTAAAACAGTGGGCATGCAGCCTTTGGAAAATTTGGAATTGGACCTGCCTGCTTTCTGTGAAAAGGTAGGAAAGAATTTTTAATGAGCATTAGCATGCTGCCTTTTTAATTTCAGCAATAAGGATTCAGGATTCTTCTGCATACAAGACTATTATGAAGCTTAACCAAAAGTATATTTAAAAAGTGTTAGAAAAAACATTCTGCATACCCATCAGGATAAACTACAGGCACTGTTAGTCTGTCCAATAGTGATTTCCCAACTACTTCAATTTCATCAAATTGCTCCGTGTCATTAAAAGCTTCAGGCTGCTCTGGACATTCTTCCAAAATCTATTAAAAAGAGGAAAAAAAAGAAAAGGAAATACAGAGTAGAACACACAAGGGATAGCAGCATGCAGGGTGTTTTTTTTTTAAGTGCCATTAACTGGCAGTGTTAGTGCTCTTTAAGCATCTACACTGCCACATTTATATGAGATCAACTGAAATATTCGTACAATTCAAGAAAGGAAAATATTGATTAAGCTATATTGAGAAAATAGTCCAGGGCTACCACTGTTTTGTACTAGAACATTTTACATTACTCCTAAGGGAACAAAAATGGAAAAACAGTCTTGCTAAACAATATTCCAGCAAAAAATATAAAGTGCATAAAAATAATAACCTGCATTGTTAAACATACAAGACAGTCATATGAAAATCGAAGAAACATGGATAACAAGGGTCCCCTGCAAGCTATTTCAAAACTAAAATCCACATCTGGCACATAACAGGTAGGATTAAAAAAAAATATGAACACCAGTGTTTCCAGATAGGATGGAGACCTAATACTACTTATTTCTGTATTTTCTTCCACTTCTGCCTCCAACACGTCTTACTTTTTTCCAAAGCAACAAAGATATTAAGAACGTATTTTCCTCACAGGCTCATGAATATGACACAATAGTGCTAGGACAATAATGTTTTTGAGTAAGAGCATTACTACTTCAGCCATCCATTTCCTTGTTTTAAACTTATGATTGCCTAAAACCACAGCAATTAACTACTGCAATAATGAATGAATGCTCACAATATGGACTGAGATAATCAACTCTTTCAGGAGTTTATGAACCACCAAATTCTAATTTGGTATCAAGTAAAACCTTTTTCAGGCACCTCTGGCAGCATAGATGACCTATTTCTACTGAAAGCAAGGAGCATATGAATCAGCTTTGTATGCTCAGAATGAATTTACTGCTAATGTGCAAGACTGGCACTTTTTTGCAGTTATATAAAATTTGTTGTCAACATTAGAGATACATACACTAAACTGCTTTTCTAAAATGTATCACTTCACAGAAAGAATGGTTCCTGGATGAAAAGCCCCTACTCTCATGATCAGTATTAATGGATACTGTCCTGAATTCATGCATTTAAAAACTATCAACATTTTACCCCTTCAGCAAGCTGCTACTGAATAGCAACTGTTTCTCAGAACTGCTGTTGAATATTCATCCTCCTCTGTGGCTTCTAGCATCATCCAACTGGGGACAAGGGTGAGATACTTGGTTATAGGAGTTTGAAAAACATACCAAGACAGAGGTATGCTTTGAAGAAAGCATGCTCAAAACCATTCAAGTGCAAAATACCAGATGCAGCAACACAGCATACTTGGAAATTAAACTGGTTGCATTCATTTACACGTATTCGAAATGCAGACATCTTAAAAGACAATACTCCTTTTAACTCTCCAAAACATCTTAAATGAGCCCATAACTTTGCATTATACCTTGCACAAAAACACAAATCAAGAAGTGCTCCTTGCCTTTAAGAATTAGTCTAACACACACAAATAAATGCTCATACCAATGTAGGTATACAAGCAATAATTACATTAAGTACTGAAATTAAAACTTAGAAAAATATGCTTAAATTCTTCTTTCTGCATTTTTTTAGTATTTAGAAAAGGGGTACTATGCATTGACAACTTCATATTTGTTACCTTTCGTTTGCTTACATTCTGATAAGAAATTTTTCTTCTTAAAAACATGACACTCACCTTTTCAGCACTTGAATGAAATGCAACAGCTGTTTCCAGCCGATGTACTCTCTCCTCAGAAGTTACTGTAAACTGCTTCCACACTCTGTTAAGTCTTGGAAGCGTGTCCCCTGAGGACCTTGAAGTGCATCGTAGGGACTGGCACAGGACCACAGTTGCCTGCAGTAACTGTCTCCCATAATCGTAAGTACTCTAGAAGTTGGAGGGGATGCAAAAGAAAGTATAATATAAAACCTCTGCATTTAACTTAGGAGCTAATTAACAACTTAAACCAACAGCAGACAAGCTTATGAAAGCTCCAAAATATAGGTCCACAAAGTGGACCTATACTGAACCCCCTGGTCTACTAGAAAACATGGCTGAAGTATGAATAAAATCATAATGACGAAGCAAAATATTTGCTCTTAAGGAAAAAAAAAAAAACAACTAAAAATAATCCTGTTGTCTAGCATTCATACTGGGAAAAAACCTAGCTTCCTGAAAACTCTGAACAGCTGCTTGCATCTACATGGAATTCTCAACATCTGCTGCAATTAGACTTTCCTAAATGAAGTACACATCTGTAAAAGCACCCGAAAAAGGCTCAGCTTGTACACTTTTTCTTCTTAGGTGACATTCATTCATAGGTACCTGGCATCTGTTTGCATAATCAAAATTTTCAAACAGGTGTGTAAACATGCACTGTTGCTTCAGTGAATTTTAGTAGACTCTTGTACAGTAGCATTCACCAGCTGCCTGCTAGTCAAGAATTAAACCTGGCAGTTCTGTTCACGCACTAGCTGCTAGTACCAGAATTCCTTGTATGAGCAAGACCATCGTATATCAACACTCAAACATCCAGAAAATCATTACAAAGACAAGCTGTTTCATGAAGTACAGCACAAAACAGACTGAAACTAAGTGGCTTATCTGTATTTATTGCAGTTCTTCAAAAGACTATTCGAAATATATGTCTTTTAAGAAAATCATAGAATCACAGAATGGTTAGGGTTGGAAAGGACCTTAAGATCATCTAGTTCCAACCCCTCTGCCGTGGGCAGAGACACCTCACGCTAAATCATATCACCCAAGGCCTTGTCCAACCTGGTCCTGAACACTGCCAGGGATGGAGCATTCACAACCTCCTTGGGCAACCTATTCCAGTGCCTCACCACCCTAACAGAAAAGAATTTCCTTCTTATATCCAATCTAAACTTCCCCAGTTTAAGCTTTAACCCGTTACCCCTTGTCCTTTCACTACAGTCTCTAATGAACAGTCCCTCCCCAGCATCCCTATAGGCCCCCTTCAGACACTGGAAGGCTGCTATGAGGTCTCCACACAGCCTTCTCTTCTCCAGGCTGAAGAGCCCCAACTTTCTCAGCCTATCTTCATACGGGAGGTGCTCCAGTCCCCGATCATCCTCGTGGCCCTCCTCTGGGCTTGTTCCAACAGTTCCATGTCCTTTTTATGTTGAGGACACCAGAACTGCACACAATACTCCAGGTGAGGTCTCATGAGAGCAGAGTAGAGGGGCAGGATCACCTCCTTCAACCTGCTGGTCACGCTCCTTTTAATGCGGCCCAGGATACGGCTGGCTTTCTGGGCTGCAAGCGCACACTGCTGGCTCATGTTCACTTTCTTATCGATCAACAGCCCCAAGTCCTTCTCTGCAGGGCTGCTCTGAATCTCTTCTCTGCCCAACCTGTAGCTGTGCCTGGGATTGCTCCGACCCAGGTGTAGGACCTTGCACTTGCCATGGTTAAACTTCATGAGGTTGGCATCAGCCCACCTCACAGCTTGGTGTCATCAGCAAACTTGCTGAGGGCGCACTCAATCCCACTGTCCATGTCAGCAACAAAGATGTTAAACAAGACCGGTCCCAACACCAATCCCCAAGGGACACCACTCGTTACTGGTCTCCAGCCGGACATTGAGCCATTGACCACAACTCTTTGTGTGCGGCCACCCAGCCAGTTCTTTATCCACCGAGTGGTCCATCCATCAAATTGATGTCGCTCCAATTTATAGACAAGGATGTCGTGTGGGACGGTGTCGAACGCTTTGCACAAGTCCAGGTAGATGACATCAACTGCTCTACCCCTGTCCATCAGTTCTGTAGCCCCATCATAAAAGGCCACCAAATTGGTCAGGCAGGATTTCCCCTTAGTGAAGCCATGCTGGCTGTCACCAAGCACCTTGTTGTTTTTCATGTGCCTTAGCATGCCTTCCAGGAGAATCTGCTCCAAGATTTTGCCAGGCACAGAGGTGAGACTGACTGCTCTGTAATTCCCTGGGTCATCCATTTTCCCCTTCTTGAAAATGAGGGTTATATTTCCCTTTTTTCCAGTCATTGGGAACTTCACCTGTCTGCCATGATTTCTCAAATATGATGGCCAGCAGCTTCGCAACTTCATTTGCCAGCTCCTTCAGGACCCACGGATGGATCTCATCAGGACCCATGGACTTGTGCACGTTCAGATGTTTAAGATGGTCTCGAACCAGTTCCTCTCCTACAGTGAGCCCAAGGTCTTCATTCTCACAGTCCCTGTGTCTGCCTTCCAAGACTTGGGTGGTTTGCTCAGAGTCTTTGCCAGTGAAGACTGAGGCAAAGAAGTCAATAAGAACCTCAGCCTTCTCCAAATCCCGTGTAGCCAGTTCTCCCGAGTGCTTCCTGAGGGGGCCTACATTCTCCCTAGTCTGTTTTTTATTTGCTATGTACCTGTAGAATCCCTTCCTCTTATCCTTAATACCTCTAGCCAAGTTTAATTCTAACTGGGCCTTAGCTTTCCTAACCTGGTCCCTAGCTTCCTGGACAACATCCCTGTACTCTTCTGTCCTGGGTTCAGCAGTAGCAGTCATTTTTCTCCTTCTTGGTAGCTGGTGCAGTGCAGTGTTTTGACTTTCAGCTCAGGAACAGAGCTGATAACAATGATGTTTTGGTTTGGCCAAGGACTTTGTGAGCCTCATGCTCTGCCAGGGAGGAGGGGAAGCCGGGAGGAAGCAGAGACAGGACACCTGACCCAGCCTAGCCAAAGATGTATTCCATACCACAGCATATCATGCCCAGGTTGTAACGGGGAGTTAGCCAGAAGGGCTGGCGGTCTGCAAGGTTGGAGGAAGTTATCGGTCAGTGCTTGGTTGGGCTGGGGGGAGCAAGTTATCGGTCGGCTGGTGGGGAGATGCTGTATTTTCTTCCCTTGTTATTTCCTTTATCATTGTTATTACTGATGGTAGCAGTAGTGATTTGTGTTATACCTTAGTTACTACACTGTTCTTATCTCAACCCGTGGGAGTTGCATTCTTTTCAATTCTCTCCGTCCCTCCGGGAGTAGGGGGAGGGAAAGAAAGGGGGGAGTGAGTGAACGAGTTGTCTGACTGGGTTTAAACCACGACATCTTCCCAGGCTGCCTGTCCTTGCTTCCACTTATTATAAGCCTCTTTTTTCATTTGAATTTTCCTCAGCAGCTCCTTATCCACCCAAGGAGGTCTCCTGGCCCTCCTACTGCACTTCCTTCTAATTGGCATGCAACACTCCTGAGCTTGTAGCAGGTGATCCTTGAATATCAACCAACAGTCTTGGGCCCCCTGCCCTCTAGGGCTGTATCCCATGGAACCTTACTAATCAGGTTCCTGAAGAGGCCAAAGACTGCTCTTTTGAAGTCCAGGGCAGTGAGCTTGCTGCATGCTCTTCTCACTGTCCTGAGGATCTCAAATTGAAGCATCTCGTGATCGCTGCATCCAAGGCTGCCCTGGAGCATCACATTTCCAACGAGCCCTTCCCTGTTGGTGAGCATGAGGTCAAGCACGGCACCTATCCTTGTCGGCTCCTCTATTACTTGCAGGAGGAAGTTGTCTTCCACACAATCGAGGAACCTCCTGGATTGCTTGTGCCGGGCCGTACTGTCCTTCCAACAGATGTCAGGGTGGTTGAAGTCACCCATGAGAACAAAGGCCTGTGAGCATGACGCTTTTCCTATCTGGCTATGGAGTGCTTCATCCGCAGGTTCTCCTTCATCAGGCGGTCTGTAACAGATCCCCACAGTAATGTCTCCCATAGCTATATTCCCTTTAACCCTGACCCACAAACTCTCTTGACAGCTCACCTGTCCCCAGACAGAGTTCCATACTCTCCAGCCTATCCCTAACATAAGGGGCAACTCCCCCTCCCCGCCTGCCAGGCCTGTCTTTTCTAAAGAGCCTGTAACCTTCCATTCCAACACTCCAGTCATAGGATCCATCCCATCATGTTTCTGCGATGCCTATTATATCATACCTCCGTAGACGTGCACACATCTCTAATTCCTCATTTGTTCCCCATGCTACGGGCATTTGTATCGAGGCATCTGAGCTGAGGTCCAACAGAAGCCGGCTCATTGGCTTGAGCAGCTGGGATATCTCCACATTGCTCCGAACATGTATTACAGGTTCTGGCAACTGACTGGGTGTGCTGGGATGGAATGATGCCCCCCTCCCCCAACACATCTAGTTTAAAGCCTCCTTGACCAGTCTGGCAAGCCTCCTACCAAAACTGCTCTTCTTCCCTTATCATCAGGACCACCTCCAACAGCCCCCACTAGACCTGGCCTACAAACTGGGTCCTGTGTTCAAGACACCCAAACCCCTGACTATGACACCACCCTTTTAACCATTTATTAACCTGGCCAATCCTCCTAGCTTTTTTTAGGTCCTCCCCTGTATCCTGGAGAATTGATGAAAAGACAATCTGAGCTCCAGAGCCCCTAACCACCTCCCCCAGGGCTCTGTAGTCCTTCTTTATGTTCCACAGGCTACTACCATCTATATCCCTAGCACCCACATGTATCACCAGAAGTGGGTAATAGTCCGTGGGACTTACTAGAGCAGGGAGCCTCTTTGCCACATCCCTGATCCGTGCCCCTGGTAGGCAACACACCTCCCTTGAGACAGGATCTGGCTGGCAGACGAGTGCTTCTGTCCCTTTCAGTGTAGAGTCCCCTACTACTATGACCCGCCGGTTTTTCCTAGCGGCACCAGTAGAGATCTTCTTTAGCAGTGCATCAGCCGGCTGTTTCTGGCTCGAGTGCGTTTCCTCATTAGCCCCCTGCAGGACAGCAAAGCGGTTCTGCGTGGGGACAACAGATTTAGGGGGAAGCCCCTTGCTTTTGGTTGTCCTTTTCCTCCTTTTTTTTGTTGTTGTTTTTTTTTTTTTTGTCACTAATTCCCAGCCTTGCAGGTTAACGGCCTCCTTTCCTTCGTGAGCTACTGGTGAAGCTTTAGGCCCCTGCACAGTTTGGGCCAGCAAGCATTCCTGCTTCCTCTCAGCTTCCCTGACATCTCGCAGTCTATTAACAGCATCCCGCAGCTCAGCCCCTGCTGCAGGAGGACCTCCACCAGGGAGCACCAAGTGCAGCCCTGCCCATTGTGCACCATTCCCTCACCAGACCAGTGCAGGCACTCTCTACACCCCGAGCTCTGCACTGCAGCCTCCCCTCTCATCGGCTCTGTCTGGGTGCTGACGCTGGCCACCGTGAGGGCAGCCAGAGCAGAGCTCCCAGGCCGGGCCCTGGTCATATGATGAGTGCTCACCATCCCGCTCGCCTGCCTGCGCAAACTGCCTCGACCCGCTCTGTTTGTCACACTCCCTGGGGCACGTTTTTACCCAGTCAGGGCTGCCGCTGTTCCTCCTGGCTCTGCCCCCTGTGAGTCAGCTGCTCACGTCAGCTGAGCTTCCAGCTCCTGGGCAGGTCCCATTGAGGACTTGAGGCTCCCTCGGTGGCTCTTGCCGATGTGAACTTAATGTTTCGTGGTTTGCACTGCCCATGAGAACTAAGGTAGTAAACTGCAGCACTGCTACTGTGGGTAGAACTTCAAAAATCTCACTAGACTCATCACCAATTCCAGCAATCACAATTACTTCATTCAAGCACTGAAGCAAACCATTAAGACTAATAACAGCTGTTCCATGATTGTTCACACCAGTACCAATTCTATTTAGGAGTCTTCTGAAACTGTACAAAACCCATATAGCTAAAAAAAAAAAACTCATTTCACCTGTGCAACATCAACAAATTTTCGATGTTTCTCCAGTAAAACTTTTGTTTCTTGAGCATCATCTCCCAGTCGGATATGTGTCTTCAGCAGAGCATCCAACAGCTCACTTAACCATTCTACTGCCTGAAAAAGAGAAGTTAGAAGAGTAAAAACTAGAAAATAACAAAAAATAAAAAAAATAATCCAGAAGGCTGAAGTAATTCCAGTAATAGCATATACTCTTGATACAGAAAAAAGTTCACAAAGATATCTCGGAGATCTCAAAGATCACAAAGAAAGATCTCAAAGAGATCTCAAACTGGTAGTTCATGCATGCAAATCACCAAGTACTCTTGCAGTCATGGCTACATCCTTTATTTTCACCGTACATATTCACTAAATACGACTGTATTTGAAAGTGACAAAAATAACATTGTACAACTACCAACCCCCATAAATTTAACCAGTGAAATACCAGGATGATGCAATTTTGTAGACATTTCCATACCTGAGCAGCATCCTCTTCACATTTAAATAACTGTACCATCTGAAGCATCTTGAGTCGCCGCACATCCACCATATCTTCACACCTAGAACAGTAACACAAAAAGACTCGCCAACACATATATAGCAGACATAATACACAAAGTTTGACAATGGTTTCAGAGAGCAGTATGAAAGTGTTCATGAAAAGATGATTAAAGCATTTTTGTGCTGCTTATCTTGGCCAAAATATATAATGCCTCACATAATAAGAACAGGCAATAAATAGAACTGATCACTACAACCCACAGAAATCATGACCCTCAAGACTCCGGAAAAGGTTAAGCTATAGATAGCAATATCAACAGTAGCTACAAGGCCTTACAACCACACTTAAGATTTCTTACCTTGCTGCACTTGTACAATTTGCCACACAGATGTTTACTTGGCTAAGATGGACTCTACCCTACCAGAGCCTAGGTGAAAGAAAGCTTACTTAAACCTGGCATGAATCTGAATTGTACTCTGAGGTGTCAGCAGTTTCTTGGTGAATAAAATGAGGACTTTTAAAAATATGTTAATACATTTTTCCATTTTTCTTTTTAGCTAAACTTAAGATTGCAATAATTGAACCTTTATACGATGATGCCCTTTACTATAACATGTCAGGAAGCATTTCAAAATCCAAATCTTGTAAAACCTAGTTCTAATCCTCTTGTCCTATATTATGCACATTTTCCAGTTTTCTAGTTAGAATTAAGAGTAGTATTGAAAGTTCTTTTCACAGTGAGAGTTAAGCTAATGCATTTAGCAGAGTGACCCTTCCACTCCAATGTCAGAGCCTGCTAACTAGACAGCAAGATTCCAGATCCCATCCAGCGCAAAGGAATTAGTATTGTCAAAACCAGTTAGTACTATAAGTGAATGCAAAAACCAGTATACACACACCTGTTTTTTCAAGCTAGTTGCAAATATAAGCACAAATACAAGAGCATGCTACATTCTGCTACGTGTCCCATAGTGCTGTGATCCTTACAGAAAGGAAAATTGTTGCTCTAAAATTTCAGGAAAACAAAGTATGGGTTCCAGAAGCATAACTAAATCAGAAAAATACCCCTAGTAATAAACATTATACTATGTGTGCATAAATAATGAAAAACATTCAACAGAAACTAAAAAAAGTGTCACAGAAATTACTATTAAATGCTACCAGAAGACAGTAATCCTTATTGTACCTTTTTGCCTCTTGTCCAGGCTAAAGAACCTTGTTTAATCATTCATCATCTGGAAGCTACTTCATACCTTTGCTGAACATTTTATTGACTTTTTGATCCTCTAATTGACTTCTCACGATTCCATATTCCTTCTGAGAATAGGGACCAGGATTGTGTTAACACACAGAACAGACTACAAATCTATACAGGGACAATAACATTTTCCTTTTAGTTTCCTATTTATTTCCTAATAATCCTTAGCGTTGTACTGGCTTCTCACAATATGACTGAACATTAAAGCAATTTTTGCAGAAATTTTCCAATGCTTATCTGAGAGTTAACAGATGGTTCAGAGTCCATTACTACGTTGTCTTGGTTTCAGCAGTAGCAGTCATGTTTCTCCTTTGTGGTAGCTGATGCAGTGCTGTGTTTTGACTTCCAGCCTGGGAACAGTGCTGGTGATACCGATGTTTTCAGTTGTTGCTAAGTGATGTTTACCCTGACCAAGGACTTTGTGAGGCTCATGATCTGCCAGGGAGGAGGGGAAGCCTTGAGGAAGCAGAGACGGGGCGCCTGACCCAGGCTAGCCAAAGAGGTATTCCATACCACAGCACATCATGCCCAGGGTGGGGGGTAACTGGGAGTTACCCGGAAGGACACGGGCTTCTGGGTGGGACTCGTTTCTTGGCCCGTGGTATTGTATTCTCTTCCCTTGTTATTTTCTCTTATCATTGTTGTCGTTGGTGGTAGCGGTGGTGATTTGTGTTGTACATTGGTTGCTGGACTGTTCTTGTCTCAACCCGTGGGAGTTGCACCCTTTTGATCCTCCTCCCCGTTCCTCTGGGGGCGGGGAAGGGGAGAGCCCCGGGGGGGGGGGGCTCAATTGCTCTCAGCCCGGCACCACTCACTGGGAGTGAGTGAACAAGCTGTCTGGCTAGGGTTTAAACCACGACATACATATATAAAGTTTTCCCTTCTCCCATGTGCATTTCTTCTCTCAGCACCGAATTCCAGCTGTTCTTTTATTACACTGTGACACATGCTCTTCTATAGCTCTTCACAGTTGGCACTCTGAACACAAGTGCTGCTCAAGTAAATAAGATTCAGAGGACATACTTAAACCAGTACTTTCTCTAAGCATTACCAAAAAACATGGTTTCTTATAGAACGAAATCCTAAAAAGAACAACTTGATGCTCATTAGACCTTGTGCTCTCTTGAGGTACCTTTTTGTTCAGGCATTGCCCTCGAAGTTCATGCACTTGCTAGAGAGAGTACTTTATTGTCTTAGGGGTTCCAGCAGTAATAGTAAGCAACATCATCTGACTTTTCCACACTACTGAGTGGGGAAAAAAGGTAGTACTATAGCTAATCCAGTACTACAGCTAATCCAGTACTACTGCATCTTTAAGAAGGGAAAAAAAAAAGTTATATAAAATATGTGACCTTTCAGCACACACAAAAATTATTAGTAGAATTGTTATTACCTTTGTTTTCTAAGCTGCATATCTTCCATCACTCCCTGGATATGGTCCACGTTTTCTTTGTTTTCAATGGTCACATCTTTTCCATAGGCCCAGGATGCCTGATTAGATATCTGATCAAGAAGACTTTGACCCTTCTCACGCAAGCCTTGCAAGCCTAAGTCTAAAGAGAAGTGTAGAAAAAAGAAAGAAAACAGAAGTCAGTGGTCACTTTTATAAATTTGGAGGGTTTTTCCCCCAGGGAGATGAAATACAACAGAATCTGAGATGGAAAACTAGAAACTGAAAAGGACACTACTACCTTTCAGCTCCCTTTCCAACTTTTACACTTGAGTGTGCATTTGTCTATATCAACAAAAAAGCAAACACTTCGCTATTCTGTGACCTAGCAGATAATAAGGAATAAAAGCTAATAGTATTTTCAGCAAATTAACTAGCTAATTAATGTATTTCATCCACACAGTTGTACAGTACCCAAAATATTTATCACTGCTAAGCAGCTGTAGCCTAAATGTTCTTCCATGGCTGGCAGAAGTCACTGCTTTACAATACATCCTACATGGCTGATATGTTTTTCTATACTGAAATGCACCAAACCTTAGAATCTGCTGCTATTTGGCAGTTCTACGAGCTCTTTTCTGAAAGGAGTATCTAGTTTATGCATCGAACTGTTATACTGCTATCATAACTACTTCTACCATATATCAATTATTTTCCTTCAAAGCTCTCTCCCACAACATACTGGACTAGATGATCATTGTAGGTCCCTTCCAATTGAAATACTCTATTTTAAATGCTTGACGGTTTAACCACCTTAAATGTGCTATTCATTAAACATATACATTCAAGGCTACTGCAAAACACTCAGTACAAGCATTCTAAACCTGAATGAATAACAATCAAAAGGTCAACTGTGGAGAGAAAAAGATCACCTAAACACTATATTCCCAAAATACGAAGGGTGACTAGTGGGGGAAAAAAGTTTGACCACAGATGATAATGGTGGTATAACATATTACATATAAAAAAGCTAAAGGAAAACATTTCCAGATTACTTTCCCAGATAGAATTTCTATGCAGTAGATAGCATAAGCAAACTAAAGGTAGCTAGGTGGATCATTACTTAGCTAGAAGGTAGAAGAGTGAGATATTTTTTCTGCCTTTTTTTTAGGTGGTGGTGGGGTTACTGTTGTTTTTTCCTGTAATGCATTCATTAGAATGTGTGTATCTGAAATGCAGAAATATTTGGCTTACCAACACATTTCAATTTCTCTTCCAATAGTTTCAAAGTTTGTTGAATTGATGCTCCATCTGCTGGCGCTACATCTACACACAACATTCCTAGTAAGCCATCTAATTGCTGAGACAGCTAAAACGAAAAACAAAATAAATGTGGATATTTAAAAGAAGTTTGAGCTTCAGATGACTTGGTCTGCAATCTTCTAAATATGTGAAAGTCTATCATTTTAGACATTTCTCTTTGCATCCATAGGAAACGAAAGTCAAGATGAAGGCTAAACAACTCATCTGCCTATAAAATTCCAAAAGCACACATACCTAGATGAGGGGGAGGGGGAAAGTCTAGGTTTTGTTTTGTTTTTTTTTACACATAAAAAGTGTACCACATGGTGGTATACTCAAGTTTATTAAAAAAAAAGAAAACAAAAAAGCAACTTTTAAACTAGAAACCATTTTATTTCAAACACTGTTGAAATTTAAGACTTGTTACAAAGCACTTCCATCCTAAACAAAGGGGAAATACATCTCAGCTTCAATTACAGTAAATTACTTGCAGCATTTTCCAAGTGAGATTATATTTCCTCCCACTCCCCTGAATTTTTTCCTATGTATTCAATATTGATAATACTAAGGCTAGAATGTACTGACAGGAGAGCCTGAGAAATTTTAAAAATTAAAACTTACATCCTGGGCAACACTGTGGAATTCAAGTGCTGCTTGTAATAGATTCTGCCTGAATTCCAGCTGACTGGCCTGCCGGTAACACACATCACTCAGCTGTTGCTGCAATGCTTTTAATTCCACAAGGTCTTCCTCCTCTCCTGCATTTAGAAGAGCTGCTATCTGCTGATTAAGCTCAACATAAACTGCAAACCATTCCTACAAACACAAAAAAAGTAAACGTTAAAATAATACAAAACAAAGATCTATTTCTCTTACAGTAGCATACATCCAACTGCAGACTAACAATCAGACCAAAAAAAGGAACTTATTACAGCTTACACTATAATTATGAATTCTCACACAGAAGGAAAAAAAACATTTCTTAATTTCAAATCAACTCAAAAAGAGCTTAGAACATTTTAATACATGCACTGCAGTATTAAGAAAATGTTGCAGAAAGAGAGGAAGATTATGAGGCATGGCTACTAGCTCCCAGCACTAACTCCCACTCAAACTATTTTACTGAACCAACAAAGGAATTCCACCATTTTTAAATAAATTTATAATGCTTACATTTCTATAGTGCCCTACTGAAACAAGAGACCTTTTGCCAAGTGGCAAGCTATTACAGAAAGCTGTTCATACAACTTCCTAGGTGTTACTTTCAGTGACGTGACTGAAACCAGCAATAGTTTTCTTAAAGCATTCAGAAAAAAAATACTATTGCTAACAAAGTGGAAGCAATCACTATCTTCTGAATATAAGTTCAAAATATCTCTTGCTTCTTGTTTAAGGAAAGCTTTATACTACTCAATTCAAAACGTGTAGCTTTGTTTTTCAAATACTTTGATTAGTGAGTAGATACAAAGGAGTTTGCTATGTTGTCGTGGTGTATTCGTAAAAGAAAACAGTTCAAGTATTTAACAATTCTAGGAGACTTAAAAACGACTTGATATATCAAGATCACATTCACATCTTGCATGACTAAGATGGCTGTAAAGTAAAACATGTTTGCTCAACAGCTTTTATTTTGGACTACAGTGAAACAAACTTCAAACACCCTATGCATTTCTAGTGCTATGGAATAGCACCATCTATTGGCCTAAAATATCTGATTTAATTAGTACTCTTGTCATGCTCCTGCTGGGATATTTGCCTTTTTTTTTTTAAATTATGCCTTCAGCTTTTGCATCATTTATTTACAAAGCATGCAAAATATGGAGTATAAATATCCATATTCTGAAAGGGTTTCTTTTTACCCAAAGTCACCTCTACTATCTGCTCACAGGAAGAAACAGAGTATTAAAAGAAGGGGGGAGAAGGGGGAGGGAAGAAGAAGTCATGAAAAAGTTAAATCAGCAGTCAGCCAAAAATTTAAGACCTGAATCAACCTTTTGTCTATTCCAAAAGGGTCAACTAAGATGACATAGTATGGAAATATTCCATTGTCACACAGGTACTATACAGTTTCAATCAACACAGCTTACACGACTCTTATTTCCTTATAATTTCTTATTTCCTTCAGACACTGAACACATAAATTCAGCTTATTAAGTGTGACAAGTGAGAAGTCAAACCAAAAAATCTAGATTAATAATTGTTAGTTTTTATTTTTAGCTTTAAACAGTTGCAGTAATTGATTTTGGCCAAGCTATCTGCGAAATTAAGAGATTGGCAAACCAGAGATAAAAAGTGTGTTTCTGATCTTTTCCACTGAAGCAAGTTAGGTACATCTGTACATGACAGCTCAAAACCATAGAGAAAAGGCAAAACATTTACTCTAAAATAACATATTGCTATGTTGCTCAAAAAATGAAAAAAATAAAACAGAAAATGAAAGCCCCCAAAAAACAAACAACCCCATACAAACACCACCCCCCTCAAAACAAACAAAAGCACATTAAGAAAATTGAGTTCAAAGTAAATTGATATAAAAGGTTTATCTATAAAACAAACAACTCAGACATTTCTGTAAGCATCTTCCAAAAGTAGTAATATAATCAACAATAAATAGATCATGAAGGAAAGCAAGCATAACAAGCTGTCAATTCTATTTTTAGGAGAGAAAAAAAAAAGGAAAATAATGAAAGAAGAGTACACTCAGCTATTAGGGGATGATTAAAAATCAAAAGACAAAGCATATCTTTCTAGAGCTGTGGCCAAAGCCAGTTTTGATTTATAAACAGGCATCTAAATTTAAGGCAGGCCAGTGGTCTCCCAATTACTTCTTTTGGTATAGAGTTCAAAATAATTTTTTCTGACCACTGTTTCTACAAACTTCTACCAGCACCCGAGAACCAAGCAGCATTCCATCTTGTCAGTGCTTTATTGATGAGCAAACTGTAGGCCAGCCTGCAAGCTGGTGGGATTTCAAGGATACAAGGACTGTATTTAGCCTTAGCTAAAGCATAATTCTCTGTTATAGATATCCAAGTGAAAACAAAGCATATTCAATCTTGTTTTTTCAGTTTGAAGTGCTAATAATATGATTCATGCACGAGTATGAAAGATTATTTTTGTCAATTAAGTAGACAGAGGATTCCCCCCCCCCCCCCCCCCCCAGTTAGGATCTTAACTGTTACAATGTTTCATGCTTGACAAGGTACTGGTTTTCAGAGCAGAACTTGAAGAGCTTAAAGTAATGAGAAGACAAAGCAGACAGGAATCACTTATCTACAACACATAGCTCTGCATCCAATCAAGGAAAGTAGTCAACAGAACCAGTGTGTCTAACTAAAGGTTTGGGTTGGGCTGTTTTTCTAAAGTACATCAGAAAAATTATAAGCCAGTGAGCTATTTTCTTTGCCATGACTGAAAAGGGAACTTAGGAAAACTGGACAAAATTGTCAATGTCTACATCCAGAAAAGTCAGAAAAGAAGAAAAGCGCTGTAAGCAACTCTGCCTTTGGAGTACTGAGTATAATATACTCTTCTTACTCAACACAAAAACTTAAGAACTACTCTAATGTAATATAAACCCAAGAAAAGTAACAGAAATGAGTATTTTTTTATACCATAAAATAAAGTAACATGCACATGTAATGGTCATATTAAGTTCTTAAACTTCTCTCTGAAATCCATAAAATCATGCACTATTCAATTTTTCTAGATACTCAGAATCAAAATACATTGTTCATAACTGCATGTACTTAGGATTATTTTGCTACTTGAAAAGGGTACAGAAAATCTCACACTGTGCTGACTCTCAATTTCTTCATGTTTCTGTTGTAAAGCTTGTGAAGCTCTAATTGAATCACCTATTCCCCACTGGGTTCTTAGCTGTTCTGATCCAGGTCCTTCAAGCCAGTTGACTACCTGTCAATAAAATAAAGGTAACAAAAATAAATTAGCAAATCAATTACATGAAAACTGTTATAAGAAGAAATCTGTAATTTAAGCAGAAGTATTTCAAAGTATATATTTATGCGAAAGAAAATCAGGATCTGTAGAAGTCTTGTTGAATCCATTCACATCTTCAAAAGCTTTAAGTGAACTACTTTTTATTAACTTTATCAGTTTCATGAAAGCTGGTAGCAGCTAGCAAAAGATTTGTCACACGTTTGTCATTTCTTATATAAGTCAATAAAAGAGCTTAAACCAGAGTTTTCTTGATAACAGACCTCTTGTGTTCAAACAAGATTTTTCTTTTTAGTTTTGCCTAATTACAGTGTACAGCTGTATTCAACCTGACAGCTCAGAGTTTTTTCCTTACTTTGTACGTAAGTACAGGATATGTACTTATTCCAAAATTATTCCAACAACTTAGTATGGTATATATTTATGTCTTTCAACTTGCTCTATTCAAATAACAAAAGCCTCTTACAAATTCTTAGTGGTCACATCTCACGAGATCTACTTTTGCAGAAAACTCTGCAGGGTCATGGCAATACAATTTTGGACCACAGCACTGGCTTTTTATTATTACTATTATTAAGCTATTTCATTTGATGTAAATATTTTTCAAAGCAAAGCATGGTATCTCTAATTTTTTTTTCCTTATATACACTTCAATTATCAGATGATATCCATGGCAATATTTTTATTATGATTTTTAAACATCTAGAACCTAGTGCAAAAATCACTTACTACTGTAGTCCTGAAGCAAGGAAATGTAGGAATACCCCCACATTCTGAACCTTAATGAAACAGCACAGGAAGCCAACTCTTTAATGTGACTTTTGTTAAACAAAGATGACAAAACAGTTTCACACAGTTTTTCAGGAAATACTGTACAATACACAATGTAACACCATAACCATGAAGACAAATAATACCTTCCTAGTGCTGTTAGGCTACATCGCAACAGTAATCAAGAATTACCATCACCAATACAGGTTACTCAAAGGTTACAAACCTTTTAGCTATCATGCTTGTGTCTTCCCACCCTCTTCCCCCCCCCCCCATTACCCAAAGCACTGTTTCAGGGCATATACTCTTTGCTCTAAAAGCATCCTCAGTCTTCCTTACTTTTACCATTTCTAGGGCAAATTAAGACTACCATTCCAGGCTCTTTTTGTTTAAACAGAAACTTCTTGTTGTCTTTAGACTTCAGCACAGCTGTTGTTAGTTCAACATGGAATGGACCTAGAGGTGAAGACACCCAGATGTCCTCCCATAACCTCACTGGCCTGGAAACTCACACATGGAAATAACAGTTCTCATGCAAGTCTGAAACAGTGACTAAGACCACCTCCCCATTAGAAGTTTCCAGCAACTACCGCCTTGCCTCTAAAACTGGTTAGCTTAGCATGTGGTGATTCTTGTGTAACAGATACTTGAGAAAAAAGTGATGTTATTTTCATAAAATATATCCTTAAATGGTTAATGACTAGACTACTGCAAGGCCTGATGTTAATTTTTGTGAAGATCAGAAAAATACCAACACCTCTGCTTAAGGAGGCACAAAGCTAGGATTTATCATAATATACAGAGTTGTTCATCAGCAGTCTGTTTAGTAGAACTGCTCACCAGATAATGCCTGGAAATTGGAGCTATCTTGGCACTGCAGAATGAAAGATAAAGGAAGGGGAAACAAAACTATGGAATAGAATTTAAGAGGGGTAGTTAAAAAGAGAGGGTATAATATTGAAGCTGCAGGGGAAGAGAGGTGGTTATGGATAAGAGGGCTTTGAGACAGGGGTAAGAACTAAGCAGTTCACAGAAAGCAGAAGCCTCAAATGGTGAAAATTAAAGAGGAATACAAGAGCAAGCCAGGAGCGATTAGTAATATAAGCAGCTATACAAAAAGCAGGAATGTCATTTTAATGAAAGCTAACAGGAAAACACTAAAAAAGAAAAAAAAAACCACACCAAAAAAACCCTTTCAAACACCCATTCCAGCTGAAAATACTGCATGTTGTACTGCAACTTTGGTTTACTTTGGCAAACTAAATTCACGGCACTTTCAATCTATTTGTTTCTTATAGTCCATAATTATCTTCTTACTTTTGTCTGTTAGCCTAATTTTCTCCCATAACAAAAAGGAAACTAAATCAGCTTTTAATTTCTAGATTTGTTTTCCCCATATACTCATAGGGCACTTAGATATAAATGCACTTCATAAAACCGATCAGTTGGGTAAAACAGTGAAACACATTTTTCCTCTGTACTGAGACTCAGTTCACTTACTATACACCTTCCATTGCATAGACAGAGTAAACAAATAACTACTTCTTATACAAATACTGCAAAATGAGGCTAACAGCCTAGAAAAAAGTCCATTTAAATGCATTAACAATGTCAACCTGCCAAAGTACATTACAAATTTTGTTTCAATTGGCATATCTTACTCAACCACTCTAACACAGGGGAAAAGTCTCACCCAATTATACAGACAGCCGTGCTAGCATGTTCTATATAATACTATTTTCATATCTTACATATTTTTTATTTCCAGTTCAACATATCAGCATTTGGGGTTTTTTTAATAATATTCTCAGTTACTACATAAGTGATTTTTTTTAATATTTGATAAATAGTCTAATAAAATTATAAGATTCAAAGTGAAAATTTCCTCAGTAGATTTCTATTTTCACTGTAAAAATAACAAGACTGATTAGTTTTTATCTCTGCCCATACTTGGAACATTGTGAAGTGCAAGTACTTGATTTGTACTCCTCACACATCAGAAATGTGAATGTTGAAAGGTTAAAAGCAACACCCATTCCATTTTCTGCATAATCAAACTATACAGAAGCTTAAAAACATGCAAGTCTAATTTCAAGCAACAAAACTTGAGGAATAGATTAATTCCACTTCCTTGATTTTCTTTACCAAGACTGCTGAAAAAATTTTGAAAATGCTAATTATATGCCTGTTTCCAAAGTACCAAACCAGCAGTACACTGCCACAGCATACAACAAAGGGACAACAGGAAGTTTCTTCAGCATGATGGCTGAATCACCTCCATGTACAAGAATAGCCTGTGGAAAGTCACTCCGGTAGCCACAATGCAAGCATCAAGTAAAACTAGCACATTGCAGTTTGAGAGGTGAAAGGAAGCATGAAACTCTCACCTCTGAAGCTTTACTTTTGTAGGAAATGCAATCTAGGACTTCAACTCAAACCTCTGCCTCGCAGTATACAAGAACAACTCCATGCTTACCTGCATTACCTTCTGCTGAATCTCCTCTAGTTGTGTACGCTTGCTACGTTGTCTGCAAACTTCCTGGTAGCGGGTATACTGCTCTCTGAGTGAATCTAGGAGCTTCATGACCTGTGGCTGAGCAAGTAGTTCATCATCCATTGGAGACCAGGATACCCCTCCATCTGAACCATTGAATCGACGCTGTTGTAACTCTGATAGTAACTCATGACCTTTAAGAATACATATAGTGATGCAGTTAATTTAGCAAAAAAAACAAGCACAGAAGTTATTAGTAAGCATGCTGGCTTTTAGACCATCCAATGGTACATTTTTGCAGTTAATGCCCTTTCATGTACCAGGCACATTTAATGATACAACTTCACGCAGAGCATAGGTCAAACTTTGTGGTGTTGTATCAGTCATTAAACATGGTACAAATCACATGTTATATTTTACATATATGTAAGAGATACCATAATTATAATTGATATTAACATAGTATTGATTAATGTAAAAAAAAACCTTCCACAACATAATCCTGAAGCAACTGTATTCTGTTTTACTTCAAAATACTGTGCAGAATCCTACTTATTTCTCTCAATTCATACTCTTAGATGACATGGCCTAGAAGCGCTAACAAACTGAGCATACAGTATCTCTGTTACCTTTCAGGATTTTTATAGCAAGTACAAAACTCATAGAAAGTGTGGAGCTGAACACTAAGTATATTGATTAATGTTCTTTTTTCTTACTTTTCTTACATTTTTCTGTGCACAGACTCTCTAGAGTGTAACAACTTTCACAGATGCAAATATAGTATGTTTTGACTATTTAATCCTTTGTTTAAATAGTTTGAAGAATGTTATTGTTAAGATGTGGTAAAGTTTTCACGATGTAAACACCATACTACCAGGAAACCCAGATCAATTTGTTCCCCAAAAGCTCAATGAACAAGTCGGCAAATAAAACTGTGCTCGGTCACTAAAGAAATAGTGATGTAAAAGTGAAAATCTATCTCATCAATTCTGCAGGTCTTAAAATGGTAAGGTGCCAGTGCACCAAAAGGAAAAAGTACCATTAGAATAGTACTTGTAATACCTCAAGGAAGATGCAGAAATATAGTATGTAAATTCAACTGGTACTATCTAGACAATCAAAATGCCAGGGGGCTTTGGCGATTGCAGCAAGCAACTTTAAATTACTCAGTATATATTATTTTGAAACAAACATCTTAAAAATTCAAATACATTTTGCCATACTAGAGAAATAAATATCTCAGATTTAATCTTTTATTCTATTACAAAGATAGGCACAGATAGCTGCAGAGTAAGCAGATTTTAAAGTTTTTACAAGTCATAGTTCTACTGGGATGATTTTAAATTTTTATGGCAGTCTTTCAGCAGTAAAGAAACATTTTCAAGGTAAAAACATTTTTAAATCTAAATAACATAATGTAATGTTCTTGGGGGCCATCTGCTTACAGAAAATTGAAGTGCTATTTTGACCAAAAATCTCACCATTAGAGGAGGATACACAATTAGATTAAAATCTAGTGACAGCGTCTACAGACACTTCATACTTTAAAACTTTAAAGACCACAGCAAGGAACAACTGTTTCACCTTTTAACTCAAACAATATTATCCCACACAGAAATAAACTAGTTTTATACAGAGGGCATATAAAACTAGTAGTTCTCCAAGGAAAATGTTATCTGTGACCCACACACTGGTTTGTAGGAGGCTGTAAGATAAGAATTCTTAGCACACTCAGACTCTGATCACCACCTTAACACTATGCATTACTTCCTATTCTACAAAGGCACAAACCTTGCAACAAATTTCTAGTCCAAATCAGTCTGTTATACTTAATAGTCAGTGAGAAAATGAGCATAAAAAGAAAAAAAAACCAATTTCAATCAAAGAACCACAAAATGTTTAATGCTGAAGGGAGAGTCTAAGTAGCAGAGTCAGGAGACTGCGTGCTTCACTTTCACAGACAGTCAGCTCAAAACTAGGTTGATGCACATTATCAGAATTGTGTTAGAAAATGCTATCTATATTACATGCATTTGGTGGGCAATAAGACCATTTTATAAGGCCAGCATATTGACATCATCTAGAAACAATGTACTCTAAAAATTTAACATGTTAATTACGGTAATACTGTAAAGATGTTATTAGCATTATTAAAAACTGTATTTAAAGTGCATTTGGAGATCTTCCATTTATTTCTTAACACTTTTTTTAATCCTACAAATATGACATTAATTGATAAGCTCGTTACATTGTGATGATGACTAAGATAATTATTGTACCCTCTGTGCTTTCACTCAGCTTAAAAATAAATGTTACTTTATTGACCATTTTTCAACTTACTATACCTGTCTGCAATACGGTCTCAGGGTCAACTGACGGAAGGAAGTTCAAATCTATTGATCTTGAGAAAAGGAATGAGCACATTATTAGTGATAATAAACATTATAAAGTAACAAACACATTATTAATAATTTGCATTACACTAGCACTAAAAATTTTAACTAAGGGCAGAGCTACCTGATACTGTTAAGAGACCATCTGTTTTCTTTCCTCATCCAGTAAAGCCCTCACTTTTTCAACTCCTATCAAAACAGAAGTACAGCTTCCTGTACTTGAGAGCCAAATTAGCATCCATCTACACACACACACACACACACACACGCACAGGTGAACTTTGTAGTCTACATTACAAACTTTCTGAATTTCTTTACACGTTTTAAAATATTTAAGGCATATCATATTTTTCATACTGTCTGGATTTCCAATGAAATTTTATAATCCAAAAGCACTGATTTCAAAAAGTGAATCACACACCTCTCTCTTTCTTGTTGAGTTCCTTTATCACTTCCATTGTTAATTAGAGCAAGTTCATCCAGTAAGGATGTTGATTCTTTCGTAAACTTTTCAAATACCTAAATAAGAGTCAGGTTTTAATTTAAGAAATTAAAATCATATCATGTGGCAGTATTGAAGTGCAAATTTATCCACTAGTTCATCTTTACACGGTGTAATTATTTCCCAGCATTCAGACAGTAGGGTCAAAAGAGTAGAAAAAGTAAGGTTTGTTCAAGGAACACTTAGGAGCACTAAGATTGCCTAAGGAGACAGTAAACATTACACTGAATACAAGAAAGATAGACTGAATTCTGAAATACTGAAAATTTTGAGACTCCTGCAAAACCTATAAGCAAATCTTAAGAACAATGTTAGAGAATCAAGGCGTGCTATGCCAGCATCTGACAGCTCACTTGAACAAAATAAAATCATGAACTTTGCAAAGCGTGCAGCTCTTAATCACTACTAATATGGCTATATTGTGATGAATAAGTAAGATGGAAGAAAGATGTATTATATAAAAAGAAATATCCTAATCAGTTTCTTTGAATATAGGGCCATCTGATTTCAGATAACAAGGCCTGTATAGCCAATGAGTACCTCTCAGATGACTCCTTTGTACCAGATTTGAGGGTTAATTTTTTGGTTTCGCTTTTTTAACAGAACTGAGCATGAACCAATACCATAAATGACATGCATAATAGCTTTCAAGGTCTTTTTGGCGTTAAAAAGTGATTAATCAATAGCCTGCAGATCAACCTCTCAATCTATTTAGGACTACTTAAATGTCAGGGTAAACTAAAAAGGATCTGCTGTGGACAGCCCTTAAAAGTGGATTTATAAGAAATCTAAATTCAGCTGTTACAAAAGGGGAAAAAAAAATTAAAAAAAAAAAAATCACTCAGGTTAAAATGTACTAAACAGTTGTAAATTGTATTTCAGCTAATACCTTAAACAACCTTTCTACCCTCTTGTCTAGTTTCAGAATTCAGGAGTTGCAATGGAGGAGGTTCTTCATTAATTTACAAAACAAATGAAACAAGGCAAGAGAAGAAAGACAGGAGAATGAAATTTTCAGTTGTATTCTGAACCAAATATAAAGCTCAAGTCCCAGTTGAAGTACTGTCCTTACAGATTTTATGAATGCAAGAATAAGTTAGTAGAAGCCACATTTGGATATACCAGACAAAAATAAAGGACAATGAAATACTAGATTTCCCTTTCCTCCCCTGTGTCCAGGTGCTCTTAGTTTCAGGCAGAATAAAAGCAAGCTTCCTTGCCCCAATCCACACACACAAAGGCTGTGCAAAGACCATGCAAAAAGCTGCACAGTAGAGGATGTTCTCTCTCTACCCTTGAGTCTGAACTCACAATTTGCTGAGATTCTTAAAAAGAAACATGGTACACATGGCGTAAGCCCTCTAATTTCTTGAGAGGGAAGTACTGCTATGAAACTGGCTGCCAGGTATGTTTGAAGGCTATGGGCAGTTGTGGTTGTGACATACTGTGGAGTACTCCTTGTCCAGAATCTCACCTGGAGATCTTAGATAGAGATACATATTTTAAGAATAGATTGCACAGGAAAGAAACACTGCTTCATTTAAAATTGTTTTGAAAATTAAAGTAACTAAAAAAAAAGAAAAAAAAGAGTATCAGTGAATAATAGATTAAAAACATTTTGGAGTGCTACGTGCCCCAAGAGTTGATTAAACAACTAATTTCTTTTAATGATTTGCTCCTACACATTTACTGCATCTCTGTATCTACTAGGGAAACTATACTGATAGACGTTTTAGTGTAGGACAGCTTTAAAACCTGGCTCTCAGGCCACACGAACCAACACTTAAGAGATAACCAAGGAAGATCTGCAGAGTTCCAGATATTTCCTCCTTGTTTTGGATTTAACTTTGCAGCAGCGAAACAATTTTCCTTTGTACAGACTATACCATGCACTCAGGCTCTTCTAGAGCAAGGGTTTACAAGAGAGTTTCCTTAAGGAACTTGTTTGTTCAGCAAGTTGATTACATCCTCAACCCTTGAGCAAATATGGTGTTAGCTGCCATCATAAGATTACTCATGCATTTCAACTAACTACTACACATATGAATTTTCTACACATTTAGCAGCTCCTACACAAAAAATTTCATGGCTCAAGAATGAGATATTTAAAAACAAGAACAAAACCAGAAAACCAACCAGCCTCTTGTTCAACCAATCCATGTGATCATAGGTGAGAGATCCTCCAAAGTCTTCTGTTAGTTGGCATGGTTCTATGTATCGAGTCAGCTTGTTAGCAGATACTAAAATAACCTGCAATAGTAAAGAAATTTTAGGTACACTTGTAAGTTATGCTATATTTTTCCCTAAGTACCAGAGAAATTGTGTTAAGTGGGCCCAGAGGCACTGAGCCGATCTTACTCTGATTCAGATATAGCGACCTTTCTTTCTTTTTTTACTGGTAAATGTTTGAATGAAATATAGCTCGTTGCAGTTAAAGTGGGCCCAAACCAGACAGGTAATTCTGATATGCAGTGTGTATCTCATGCATAAATGTAATCTACACTGTCATTGACACTGCATGGGAAAAATAAATGTTTGTTGGGTATTTGTTTTCTTGGTGATAAATAATGCTTCGTGATCAAGTTATACACCACATAATCTATTTTTAGTGAATATAGTAGCAGGATGTCATACAGCAAAGCACTTAGTATTTTTATGACTCTCTTGCAATACTTCCAGTCCCAGAGGTGAGTTTTTGCCATAAAAGTTAAGTGCTTGCATTTACTGTGCAAACACGCACAGCAAGAGTTGGATCAACCATACTCTTTCTAAGAGTAGTCAAATTCAAAACTTAGTATGCTTAAAAGCCTGAGTCATTTGCCAAGGAGACAAATCCAGTTCATCAACTCCTCAGGATATGAAGGAAAACACAGGTCAACTGCTAGTCAGAAGACGAACTTCATCCCTTCATTTCTGAATTAGAGAAGCTCCTGGCTGAGCCTTATTCATATAAATTTAAACCAAAAGTTGGCTGCACAGGTTGCTTTGATGCACAATATGCTACACCTGGAATAACTCCTGTGGAAAAATAACGAATTCTCTATGGAAGCAGACATGTTAGCAATAGAGTCAGAAAGAAGCGTGGAAAAAAAAAAAACAAACCAACCAAACAAGACAATTTTGAGAACCCAGATCATGCATGTATTCTTACAGGTGGCAAGAATATTGGGAAAGAGCCAACTGGAAAGAGCCTTCTACTTCTAGTCCAGCTCTTTGGTCCTGCAGACACTGGAAGACAGAAAACCAATCCTAAACTTAAAGGTTTTCTCTTTACTATTACCTCAGGGGTTTTGTCTTCCACTAGCTCAGGATAGTTCAGAGCTGTTTAGATCACTAAACCAATTTGATGGGAGTAAAATTAACGAAAATACTATGTTCCTAAGACATATTTTGAGCCAATCAAAAGCCATTCAAGTCAAGAACCCCTGGCCAGTTGTCTGTCTCCATCCTTTGAAGTTTTTCAAATGGATACAGCCCTGGGTAACCTGGTCTAATCTCTGCTTTGAGCAGTAAATTGGACTAGAGACCTGTAATCTCAGAGATGACCCTGCTTTGAGCAGGAGGTTGGACTACATAACTTTTGAGGTCCCTTCCAATTAGAATTGCTCTTTAATTTTCAACTCTTACAACTCAAGAATCCATAGTGGTTTGAACAAATGATCTAATATTTACTGTATGGGAACACCTTCCAGCAACATTCAGCAAATACAGACTACTCTCCTGTATTCTGTGTAGCTGCCATAAATGAAATTATCTTGCAGTTTCTTCTGGCTTAAGCCCCAGATAACTTTAGGTCCAAGAAAAATAGTTTGTGTTTCTTCCTTCTTTAGGCACAAATTTATATTTTAGGTCTTTTTAAAATTCTCTTTTCATCTCTAGGAGTTCATAAAAAAGGAAAAAAATTAATTTACTCAATTAGGATATTTTTGGTATGGAAACTGAAGTAACTAGGGCAGCTGGTTCACATCACTGAAATACTAGTTCTAAAAAGTAAATTGCCTGAATAAAAGGAGGGACTGCATTGAGACCATTTATTTCTGATTATTTTTTTTTTAAACTAATATCCTTCAGGAAGAATCACAGGCAAGGGATGTGCTTTACAAATGTGCACCAGGGAAACATTTAATTTTTTTTTTCTCCTGTAAAGCAAAACCTGCCTGTAACAGATACATGAGAAAACAACCCTCTGATGAAAAAAAAAAACAAAAAACAACACCCTAAAAATGAGATTCATCAATGAACATAAATTTCTTTGCACCTGATTAGAGAGATTATGAAAAATAAAACCTTCCCACCTCAAAAGTAAGCCTTGATGTAACTCAAGACACTGCTCCAAACCCATTCATCTTCTAGGGGTTTTTGTTTTGTTTTTTTTTTGAAGAAGTTTCTTTCTTAACCTTTTTATTGACTGTTCTTTTGCTAGACCTAAACTAGTGTCAGTGCCAACACAAAATCCTCACCATGCTTTAATTTAGTAACTTTGATATTTTTAGGTGTAAAAAGCACAATTTGCCTTCCCAAAGCTTCTGAAATACCATTTTTAGCAGCTACTACAGATTAATAGGCCGTAAGAACATACACCAAGAAAAAACATTATTTAGGGATAATTTAATAAATTTTTTTATAAAATCAAAATAACCTCTTGAAAAGCTGCCAAAAAAAAAACCAACCCCATGTACTGCAGTCTTGTGCTTCAACCACAAAATTCCCTTATCTCTCAAGAGTGAGACTACAGTTACTTTTTCTAGAAACACAATTCTGACCCTTGAGACAGTGTCACTAACGCCTATCTCTCACAATAAAAGCGCTTTGAGTACTGTCTGTACAAGGCTGATCTACATCACTTGATGGTTTTTACAATTATTTTTATTGATCATCTCCAATGAAGAAGTATCAAGATCAGAGGGGAATTCTGGATATTCAATAGAACATGTGCTCCCAAAACGTTAAAACACATCCATCTGAACTTTCTTTCTTGTGTGAAAAAACTAAAAAGCTCTTTAATGCAAATTTCAGAGTCAAACCCAGAAGCTACTGAAATACAGGATGCTGTAAAGTTTCAGTAACAATGCAGTTCTTTTCTTTATTTCACAGCAGCCACATTACTGAACCTAAAAAGGAGCAGTTATTTCTAAAAGAACACACATGTCCCTTGATAACAGAAAATTTTAAAAAGTAAAATCTAAGCATATTATTCTTCTGAGAGAATTAAAATGGCTATACTAATCTTTGTATCTTAGCATCAATAGTAATACATTCCAGCTCTGTGATAAATTAAAAAAGTTATCTAAAATTGAATGGTAAAATTATCAGAACAAAAACTTTATACTGGGAAATAGTTACCAAAGCACTGTAAGGGGACTAAATCCTATTTTTAATCCCAGGAGTAATAACATCCTAAAAAAAATGAGATTTAGTTTAAAAGAATAATTGGTGTCATCTCTTAGGAAAGACACAAAAAAAAAAAAACCCCAAACAAACAAAAAAACAACCAGAAGAAAATAATACTATTAACTTGCATTTGCACAACACTGTAAACCTAAAAATACACTGAATTTCACATAACAGAAAAGTCAATTCTGACAAAGTAATTTATTAAAAAGGAGAAAATAATTCATTACAGAAATATATCTATACTGCTTATAATTTGTTAGTCTGGGGGATTTGTTTGGGGATTTTTGTTGCGGTGTTTTGGGTTTATACTTATTTATTTTTACACTTCAAGCAACCTAATATCCAACAACCGAAAAGTCAGACTAAGTTCCCAGTCCCTGTAGAGAATTCATACGAGGTATGCTCAACTTCTGCGAATTTTATATGGACTGAAAGTGCATTACCAACACATGCCACAGTTTCTCATTTGTCTTAAGTAACCCTCGTGATCATGTGGGTACCAAGCATGAAATTAGATGCTTCTTTAGAAAAAGAAAAAATACTAAGAATAACAGAATGCATATATTATACACAGTATTAGCTGTTTGACATTATGAAAGTGACAGAAATGCAACTAGTGACAAGAACATTTATGCATACAATAATATAAATGTTTAAATTCTGTTCCAATTTGTTACACTACAGTGCCAATGACTACAAATGTATCTAAGAGTATATTAAGGTATTTACTCAATATGAAAAGAATATCTGCCTCATTACTCATTTTAATAAACTAGAATAAAAATATTTAATGTATTTTTCATTTAAGTACTGCAATGTGAGAATCTGTCATTCCCAAACTTTTTTTTTTTTTTAAAGAACATTAATGAAACATGCTAAAAGCTGATGATACTTATTTGATTGCTGGTTGATAATTTCAGACAAATTAAATTTAAACGGGCATAAGCAGAAGTTCCTTTGTTCATTTCCCAAAAGTTCTGCCAAGGAACACAGGGAAGCCTAGATAGCTCTTCCCCTCTCACAGCCTGGTTGGTACACATAAAATGTTGAATTTTTATAAAGTCCTTTAGGCTCAATATTAAAGCTGTTTTCTCAGTGGATTGATTCTTGATGATTTGTTATGCCAGCAGCTTACACATCCAAACAGCTTTGGAAAAATACAGGGAAAGCTTCAACGCACAAGGCAGAGATTTACGAGAACAAGTCTGCACTTCAGCCTGTGCAGAAATCCAAACCAAAGAATGCCTATCTTCATTTTTCACACTACACTGAAGGCATCTGTTGCCAGAAAACCAGCAACTTTTTATTAGTATTATTATTTAATTATGTTTAAATCCTAACTGTTTTCTAAAGCACAATCAGCATTTGGTTTTGGGGGTTTTGTTTGGTTGGATTTTGTGGTTGTCTTGGGGGTTTTCTGGTTTGGTTTTTTATTATTTGAAAGTTAGCTGTGCTTATTCTCCAGCAAACTGAGCTGCTGAAAAAACTTAACTACAACCTGAACTACTCTCCTGGTCATTTTTCAAGAATAACTATAGCACCTTTAACAGACTAAACATAGCTGCCCATATATCTGGTCTGATAGCGACTCATTGCCATGGAACTGTAAAGCAAAGATTTCCTCTTCCTGAGGAGGATAATCCTATTGTTTGATGATAAATATTATTTTAATCCAGTTTTGAAATGCTGTTTGATTAAACACTGAGTAGGATAGAGTGTTATTTGTTAATATGGAACACTAATCTATACAATGATCATTTACTTTAACATTACATCAAGAAACACAAGCTAAATATTTACGTGGCCAGTATCACACAGAAATCTGGCATACTGGAAACCTAAGAGCAGCTAGGAGA